TATAACTTGTCGTGTGCCAAAAACTCATCAATAAATCGTTCATTAATGGACATTTTTGGGGTTGGGTTTCGGTTTTTTAATATTTTTTTTTTTTTTTTGTTTTTTTTATTTTTTTTTTTTTTTTTTTTTTTTTTTTTTTTTTTTTTGTTTTTTTTGTTTTTTTTGGTTTTTTTTTTTTTTTTTTTTTTTCACTGATCTGGCAGGATCTATCATCCAGACGATGTTGCAGGAGTTGCTTTTCTTTTTCAGGCCAGGTCTTTTCGGCGCAGGTTTCCGACAGTCAACAAAATCCCGAAGAAGCTGGTCTTCGACATTCAATTTTCTACGTTCTCTTTTTTCGCATTCTGGTGGACAAATCTTTGGTCATGAAGTATATGCTTTGATGCTTTTTCAAGTCTTTCATGTGATGCAAACTTGTACTGCAATGATTTCATTTTCTGTTTATAGAAGAGAGCTGTGGCCATGGGAGACAGGCGTGTCCTCCCACATCCAATTCTTGATTTATATAACCAATCTACTCATCCCAGATGACACTGCTAAGACCCTCCGCAGTTCCCACCTTTCCAGGCTCGCCAACCTGTAGAGAAGCAATCTCCTCACCCAAATTCCCTGTCCTCGGATCCCGGCGCACAATCGCGACCGTCGCAGAAGCTTGATTTCCAACGGCAACCAGGTCTCCAGCACGATTGATCACAAATGTCCGCGGCACCTTGCCAAATGCAGAAGATGAGTCCCGCAATTCAACCGACCCATCTACAGGAGACCGATCAAGCACAACCATTGAATCACTCGGCGCGAACCCCTGATCACTCCGAATCGAAACATAAAGCGCATTCCCGATTCTACTAATCCCAGCCGGCGTCGCACCCTCCGGCATAACACCCCCGGGATACAGCACCAGTGTCTGCGTCTGTTCAAAAGACAAACACCCAGACCTCGAATACGAAACGTCAAACACCATCATCGTACCCCCGATCTCGTTAACAAGATAGAACATCGTCTCGCCGACAGCGGCTATCTTCCGCGAATGCGTCGACCCAACCTCAGACCGGCCGGTGCCATCTGTCCAAAACACGCCGTGTCTCGGCCCGCTGCCGTAGGTAATGTTCACGCTCGGACACTCTGACAGCTTTCCGGACGGGCCATCCTCGATCGCATACACGCGCAGTAGATCCGCGCCGAGATCCGGACTGACGATGAACGAGCCGGTCGGGTCGAGGATGACTTCGTGCGGGTGCGGCGAGTCCTGCTGGTCGAATTTGCCCGGTCTTGTGAGGTTGAAATGGAAGGCTTGCAGGCTTGATTGGTTTTGTTTAATAGGTAGGGCGAAGGTTGAGATAGCTGAGCCTTCGCTATTAGATTGTTAGTATAGGTCCACACCACATCCACAGCAACACAATCCTAGGCAACCAAGACTGGGCATGTAGGTAAGGAAGAAATACATACTAATGCGCAATTGCAATAAACTTCTTCCCCGCATCCGACTCATAAATAACACTATTGACGCCACCACCGACAGTCTTCGCGACCGCGCCTTGACGCAGCGTGCCGTCTGGTTTGACATGCAGGGCCGTCAACGTGCCATTCGTGGAAGGATCGGCAGTTCCGCTCTCATCGGAGCAGTAGACGGTACGGGTCTGCGCGTCTAGGGTTAACCAGCTCGGCATGTCGCCGCAGGTCTTGAGTGTTTGTGATATGGAGAGGTCATTGTTCTTCAGGGCTAGGGTGTAGACGTTCCCATTGTAATGGGTTGCCCACAGGTGGGCTGGTTTGGAGGTAATAATGGCGGCTGAGGTTATTCCCAAGGCGGAGAGGATGGGTAGGAGGTTTTGGAGGTGCATTTCAGGGCTTTGGTAGATGCTGCTACCTGAAATCTGGTGTGATGGATTGATCTATTGGTAGGGAGTACTAGTATATGTAGTGATGCAAAGCTGATTGGGGTGGGGGATTGGGCAGACGCGGTAGGGGATCGGCAGTCCCTGGCTGTCTAGGAATGGACGAGGGGAAGAAAGGGGTACGAGAGTTTTTAGGGACCATCATGACAAAGGGTTTTTTTGCCAAAGGGGTGACATTATTATTGTGTTTATGTTGTGTTGCTTTAGTCTGTTTCCACAATGCTGTATCGTGCATATTAACTATCACAATGGCTAAATGAATTAGGGTTAATCCCCCACATTGTGATAAAGCCACGAGACAGCCACTTCGTCACGGTTACATGCTAGCTTTCATCCCATGTTACGTGGGGGTCTCTTCGTGACTGCGAGGGTGGATCGATAACCTATTCTTCAATATATATGTTTCGCTAAGAGTCAATTCAGTGTCAAATCAATGTCAAACCAGTGAAGCAAACAGCATTGCACACAAGCTCGGTTCCAACGACACCGAGTACAAGCTACCACCCAGGTTAGCCACATACACAATGGTGTTCGCCTTGTCCAACTTCAAGCCAATAGGCTCGTGGAAATGACGAATTGCCGGTCCTAAATGTTGGGCATACTCGACAAGAGTACCAGAAATTTGTCATATCGTGCCCCACCATGACCCCTAGGTGACTTTAGACTATCTCGAAAAGAAGCTAGCAAATCCCGCTTTATTCAGATTCCCACATGGGAGCAAGCTGGGCTGTTTACCTTCAATTACAAACATATACACAACACGATTCGTCTTTACAGATCTTGCCATACCAAGTTTGACATATCACTTGGCCCCGGATACGTCTTTGTCCCTACACATATACATCCAATGTTTTATAGCGAATATCAATTCAGTTGCAAACCCTATCTCTGGTGTTGGATATGTGGCTTAGATGGTAATTGGTCGTGGGATAAAGATAGTATTGAAGTTGTTCACCAAATTTGACACTATGAAAATTGCACTTGAAAAAGGCGTCCATTGCAACCACTATCTTCCTGCTTATCATTCTCCTCAACGCTAACCATATGCATTTCCAGCTATTCTTATTCTTCTCCAGGCATAACCGGACGTCTTCGCTTTACCTCATCCAACAGGTACAGCTGCAGTTGATAATCTTCATCAGCTGTGCTAGAAAGTCCACGTTTGAGATAGGAAAAATCCATTGCATTTTGATTGCCGAGCGCATCGAGCCTTTGAATTTCAGATTCGGTGTATCCTTTCTGGCGCAGCTTTGCAAAGTTGTACCGCTGTGTATTTTCAAGGATAGTGAGCAAGTTGTGAAGGCAGCGTCATTCTAGCCCAAGTCGCGGAGCCCATCTTGCATCTTCTTTCGAGGGGGAGTCAGAGTAGAAAGGTAATTGGTGATGACCTCTGCAGGTGGCTCTCTGGGTATTGTATTATCAGTGATTGCGATAGCATTTCGGTTGAGCTCCTCTTCGGACAGGAGTTTGAGAATTTTCCCAGTATCATCAAGTATCCACAGTCCTTTGGGGGGTGGAACAAATTCAGGTTGTTCGTCTGCCGTGATCGAAGACTGAATGATGGAAGATAACGCAGAGATCAAGGCCTGGAGTTGTGTTCTTAACTCTACCTATGTGCATATGTGGACTTCTGTCACACAAGGACCAACTCAGGATTCAATAGATGCGTCAGAATGCGTTTATATAAGGTTTGCGGCCCAACTAGGTATTTTTGTGCAGGACGTGTAGGGAGTATATAGTTCTAAGGTTCCTACTGATGGTTTCATCTTAGGTTAAGCTAGCGTCCGAAATACGGTATTAAAAACTGAACATGAATTGATTTTCTCCATGGCCAAACAGATTAGCAGATAAGATTCTCACCCTATTCTTACCCTGCCTATTCTTTTTGCACTTAAAGTCTTTTCAAACCCTAATTACTTTGCTCTATATACCTCTCCCACAGTCAGTCAGATACATACGACCATAGGGTGTGGAAAACAGGGCTTCCCGTCCGCTCAGCCGTACTTAAGCCACACGCCGGTGAGTTAGTAGTTGGGTGGGTGACCACCAGCGAATCCTCACTGTTGTATGTTTTTGGCTTTGTTTTTGCCACATAATCTATTTTCTTTACACGGCGATTCTCAATATGCCCTTGACATCTGAGCGGCACTCGAGGGTGAGCGCGGGGTGATGGGTGAGAAGTCTAGGGACTAGGGTGAGAGAAGCGGGAATATTGTGATGACGACCGTGCCACAACTCTCAAAATGCTTTATAGTCTCCTCGGCGACAGTTTTGCGCAGAGGGTATGTACTGCCCATGGTCGCGGCTGCAACGCAAAAAAAGAGAGCAGGCCCTTGGTCCCTGAGGCGCGCGGCTGTCTTGTCGTGTGCAATATATATGAAAAGGAACTTGGGCACCAAGTCAAGATGGAATGTCGTAACCAAGCGTTCAGCCTCGGCGTCACTTAAAAGCTCTCACTGGATCGAGGCCATTGGACGGGTCACTAGCAGCATCTAGCAGTGCGGCAATGTCCGTCGAGTTCAGTTCGGAATCACGAGACCAACCCGGGTCGTTGGCGAGCGGATTGGGCTGCCCATTATGTCGGGTCAAATCAGCCAGCTGTGATGCCAGCTGGTCAACCTTCTGACAATTGGCACTGTGGAGATTGAATCTGGTAACAGATCAAGAGGTCGTCAATACGGATAATATTATTGTAGCCAATGGAAAAAATAATTCTAGTGCAGGAGAACATCACGATGTCAAGTTTTCAATTCTTGGATGCCAACAGTGTGCGTTCGTGAGATGATACTTCAAGTCATCCGTGATATGAAATATGGTCTGATCGATATGTTCTTTAAGCTAGTTGGTCAACTGCACGAGATGAAGCGACAGGGATTGCCCCTCCTTCTCACCACCTCCAGCCATGTTCTCCAAATTCGACATCCTTTGCCATGGTAGGAAGGTATTCATCGTCTTTCGGGGAGTCTAGGACCAGGAAAAACATCACGAAGTAGGAGTCCTTCCATTTCATCTCTGGGGGGATACGGGCAGCGCTTCTGAAACCGGAGATTTTACTATACGTTATTAGCTTGAGATCATAAGAGATATAGTCGAACATACACAGCACCTGTCTTCATATCGAGTATGATCTTTGACGGGGACGCCGGAACCGGTTGATATCCAACCTTTAGAACGTCCCTAATTCTAGTTAGCGGCAAGTACATGATAATCAACCCACTGAGTAACAAACATATAGGCCTTTCGGAGGTTTGCACGGACGACATCTCGTTTCCCGCGGGAGAGATTCCAGAACTTCTGAATATCAAGAGGATCCCCTGCGACCTTTTCCCATACAAGGTAGAGGATATACCCGCCGGGGACAAGGTCGGTTTCTTCCTGCGTGCTGGCATGATATCCAAGGAGTTTAGGGGTAGTAGTAAAGTTATTCGCTGTGAAATACTTTAAGGCAGATAGCTCCACGTAGTCGCGTGATTTCCAGGCCTGTGCCTTCCGATCGTCCGAGCTATCAAGTTCAGTACCAGATAGGGGAACCTGTTTGTAGATACGCATGAAGGCGATATCCTCGGTACCTGAACGGCGACAAAGATATTTTCCCGCGACATATGCCGGATGCATGCCAATGTTGAAATCCTTCTGGGTAACCGGAACTGATGCCTCACTCAACTTTTCTAATATGCGCCAGCGGCTAGTGGGATAGAGAGTAGCGCATTGTTTATCCGAAGGGTTCGGGCATGCTGTAGTGATCAATTCGTTGATCATCTTGGGAAGAACTGGACGAGCTTCGATTTCAGGCATCGTGAGCTTGGAAAAGAGAGATGGTGTCAAGAGGCTAGGAGAAGAAATGGCGATGCGGCAGTATTATACTTTCACTTCTGGGGAAAAGAAGAAGAGGGTAGTAAACATTAACCCGTGGACTAGTTGGTCGCCATACGTCATGTGATCCAAACACCCGACGAGGTATTGTGACACCATTGTGCATAATTGGATAGTTGTATGGGAGATAGAGACCGAGATTGAAACTACCTATAAGACACATCGTGAATGCATTCTGCGCATTAATTTCAAATTCACATTAATTCGTTCAAGGTTAACCTTTTTTTCCGTATTTTCCCGTATTTTTCTCATGTCTACCTAGAAGATAACTATACAAAAAAGCACATTAAAAGACTACCATCAAGCCAACTGGGTCATATGACAGGCTGCAAAAGTGGCCGACTATCCTTGTGTTCGTGAATCAAAAAGCAGGAAACCTAAAACCATACAGCATAGGGCAGCAAGAAAGAGGTTAAGTGTAGTTAGGGCCATTTTGAATTTACGTGAAAGGTACTATCTGCGGTTCATCTCAAACCAAAAGAGGACCTCCAGCTAGATAAAAACTAGCTGCAGAATGCCCCCACGATCATATCATGTAGCGGATAAGTCATTCATTATAGTAGGTAGTAGGGTGGCTGAAGGCGTATGTTCTGGGATTGGGTGCTTCAATGTCACTAATCATGGTGACCATCACGCCGGTGAATATTGATAACGAGGTTAGTACTAGTTGTTATTTAGTTTTCCTCGGCAGATAAAACAGTTATTGTTGAGACTGATAGGACCTGCTCCCTACCTTGTTTGGTCTTCCTTCTCTCTCTCTTAGCGAGCACACACAATACAACACATTGTTCTCTTTCTCATCAGTTATCCGGGTCGTGTAGCAGTTGTAGTATCTCGTCTAGGTGACAGGGGTAACCTAGGAGCCACTGTTTGTTTGTAGAATCCTAGAGGTATAATACCCAATGGTCAATGATATGGTTAATGATATGAGTGTTAAAGGTGCCTATAGCTACTGCCTGATTTCCCTTCAACTTCTCTTTCCATTCCGCCTTGCTCTTCTTCTCTGACTCTTTTAATACGCCGAGCTCTTAAGCCTCCCCTTCCTTCCATTGTTTCCCTCATTCAGCTATCTGCGCATGACGAAGCTTTTTTTGCACTCTAGATTGCCATAATCTACCATTTTCACTTTCAATTTTCTTCTCATCTCAGATGTGAGTCTTACTCAAGAGCCATTTGATTAGTATACTAATAAGAATCCCCTTTTAGTACCATCTCAACATGAAATCTCCCACGATTACAACGCAGGAGGCAGTCGAAAGTTGTCTCCCTGACCTTCTCAAGGCTACTCACAAAACCTTATCATCCGCAATACACAAAGTCAAATATATTGGCCCGCTATCTCAATGGCAGGACTTCGAGGAAGATGTCAAGAATAACAACCCCAAACGTTGGACCTCGGCTGTTATTGATTATCGTATCAGCAACCGCGATCTTCGGCAAGAGGAAGTCTATGTTGCCGACGAGACAGGTGTTCAAGGAAGGTTCCAACAGGCTGTAGGTCAAGTTCTCGGAGCTGTCTTTAGGGCGGAAAAGAAGAATCTCCGCTTTGGGGACTTTAAGTCTGCTGGCATTACCTACGACAAAACCCCGGATATTGCTATGGTGTCTCCCGGATCCCCAGTCATGCTTCGAGCTGTCGGCGAGCTCAAAGTCCCCTGGGTCATGGCTCACAACCTGAGGAAACGGTACGGCGCCGATCAAGAACTGCGTTTAGCACTTGGACAAGTGCTCGAATATATGATTGACCTACGACTTCCTTATGGATTTCATTCTACCTATGAAGAAACCATCTTTTTGAGGCACGTCCAGGTTAACGGACAGTGGAGGGTCGAATACTCACCCGTGATTCAGAGCACGGCGACTGATGTTTCACTAAAGAAGTGTTTTTGGCACCTATCATCGCTGGCACTCCAAGGGAATCCTGTTCAAAACCCCGCTTTGAAGGATGACTTGGTCACTGACGAAATTCTTTGATTTAGTCCTATAAGCCAATTCTGCTTAATCCTCTTTCTTCCTTGCTCCTTTGTCTCTCTATGCTTGGTATCTTATTGAAATGCACTCTTTGGGAACTATGAGCTTTCTCTCAGGATATTGTTGAAAGTAAAGTTGCTAAAGATTGACCAGTAATTCAAGTTTCACCTGATTTTCCTATGTCGTTGACCCTGTCAGGTGCCAAGGGACCTCACAAGTCTTGGCTTTTGGTCGGCCCGTGGGATCCGGGCCGAGGGTGGACCTCAACCCTGGAAAGCCCTGCATGTGTGCATACGTGGGGCTTCGGCTTCCTTGAGTCGGACTTCTTATCGCAGGGCAAAGGAATTAAAGGGGGATTATGAAGATTGCGACGTTCACACCGCGGATAAGCTTTGGCCGTTGCAGCACGTTCGGAGGACAAGGACAAGACTGGCTATGTATACGATAACGAGCCTCAATGTCCCCGTAGATACCTCCGTTCAACGAATCATTTGGACAAGGGATTTGGTTGAAGAACATCCGAGGGTTTGGCCCCACTTCCTGAGCTAAATAAGGAAAGGCTTGATGCTTCGCTCGCTTCCCAGGCTGAAACATTTTCAAATCCCAGATTCCCACGAAATTCTTGTCTTTAACACAGCACCGGCCAATAAATCTGGTCCCTTGGCTACTCCCGGCAGCTGCAGTTACCCCGAGGACAATGAGGTTCAAAGGTGCCGGGCATATGGCCATAGTGGCGTTGCGCATTCTACTGTTTACAAATCAAGTCTTGGCGCTCAACCTGGATGTTAACAATCAGCGTAAGATAACTATGTTTTCATATCTTTCTAACGGTTGAGTTGCTAATTACATATATTTTCAATGAGTAGAATCCATCAAAGATGCCGGGAGCACCGCCGCCTACAACATGATGACATGGTACAAAGAAAATGGGACAGATAACCCGGGTTTCATCTCAAGATCTTGGTGGACAGGAGCTGCTTTGTTTCTAGCATGTCTCAATTATTGGCATGCTACAAACGACACAACCTACAACGATGAAGTCAGCATCGGATTACAACATCAGGGGGGTTCTGGCGGAGACTACATGCCTTCATGGGCAGTAGGCATAGTAAGTGTCTCTCTCAAGATATGTAGTCAAAGTGCTAACCGTTGCATAGGGAAATGATGATCAAATGTTCTGGGGCCTCGCGGCGATCACCGCAGCAGAATATAAATTCCCGAATCGTCCAAGTGGGGACACCTGGCTCACCCTTGCAGAGGGCGTTTTCAATGACCAGATATCGCCAGAAGGGAAGGGATGGGAGACGACTATTTGTGGAGGTGGCCTTCGCTGGCAGAAGGAGATATGGCAAAGTGGTTATACCATGAAGAACGCGGTGTCGAACGGTGGCTTTTTCATGCTCGCGGCTCGTCTCGCTTGGTATACCCAAAAGAACAACTACGCCACGTGGGCTGCGAAAGTCTACGACTGGTCTACGACGGTGAATTTGGTCAATAATAAAACCTGGGCAGTGGCAGATAGTGTCAGAGCAGGCTCTGGGGGTCCCAATGGCTGCAGTCTTCCTGACCACACCGAGTGGACCTACAACTATGGTACCTATATATCTGGTGCTGGCTATATGTATGCCTACGTAAGTATTTTTATCCCCCACCCTTTAGTAAATCAGAACTACACTCCTGTCTTGGCATGCTAATAACAAACCTCGTTGTAGACAAACGATACTAAATGGCTTAATATCACAAACAACCTAGTGGATTCATTGTTTACTACATTTTTCCTACCTCAACACGGAGGTGTGATTACAGACTGGGAGTGCGAAGCTTCGGACGAATGCTACAAAGATGCGAATGGTCCACTTTTCAAAGGCCTTACTGTGTCGTGGCTTGCAGATGTTGCATTGATCGTCCCTTTCCTCAGGGAGAAGATCCTACCCAAACTCCAAGTTTCTGCCCAGGGTGCTGCAAATTCATGCACCGGCAACAACCAAAACCTCTGTGGTAACCGCTGGTACGGCGGGTATGATGGGCAAAATTCAATGGAGAATGCAATGAGTGGTAGTCAGATAATGAGTGCTGTTATGCTGCAATTTCTAGGCACATCCTCAAAACCAGTCTCGACAGCAACAGGAGGGAACGGCACAAGCGACCCGAGTGCTGGTACTGGGGAAAGGTCGGGGCCTGCACCGTTGTCGCCTATCACAACGGCAGATAGAGCAGGAGCAGGAATCCTGACAGTGCTTTTCGTGGCTCTTATGTTAGGCGGAGTGGTCTTTTTGTTTATGGACCCCTGATCCTCCTGGGATGATATTCTAGCAACTAATCAAGAAGCGAAGCTTACGGGCCGACTTATATTTCAAGTTCTCACAATAAATTTTTTCTTTCCGTGATCTATTGACGCCGGACAGTTAAGAAATATCGAGATAAATGATCACGGGATCGAGTAGACGGCAGTGAGAAACTTATATTTCCCGAGAAAGTATCTATATTCTACAGTCTACTATAAAATATACCAACTACTACATACTAGATATTTATGTATCAGTTCAACTGGTTGAATTCAAGCCCGGAGGCTGACGAAGATTTTGGAAATATTCACATTCGCCGGTCGGAGCGGATACAAAACTTCCCCAGACTTCTTCTCCTCCTCGAATGTTGTCGTGTGAAACTGCGCGATGATAGTTCCCCTGAACGGCGCCGGTGGTTTCGACCACACCTTTTCCACAACCTTGGAAACACTCTCGATTTGGATACCCCGGAACCCTTCAGTCGCCGAGCGTCTCATCATTTCTTCCGCCAACATCCTCATAAGCCCACGGCCGGAATAAGATTGGACGGTGTTGGTAGCGTTGCGCATCAGTACCTGTCCGCGACCAGTAGGCCTCCACGATGCAGGATCCCGCTGGTCTCGCTCCTCGAGGGCGTGGTATAGTGTTTCGAACATGGGCAGTGTTGCTATCAGAGGCTTTATCTGAACCATGTCTAGATCGTCGATGCCATCGTAAGCCATAGCAATTGAGACTAGTGGGAAGTCCATCTACTCTGCAAGGTCCCTTTCCGTTGCACTTTCATCATCCAGATTCCAGTACAGCTTGCCCCCCGTGGCTGCAGACGCGGGTCGCTTGTATTGGTATTCTTTGTCGAAGATACCAAGTGACTTCCCTGAGTCAATCTGGTGTTTTATTAAATAGTACGAAGTCTAAAGGTTTGATAGGCTCGCTGGGTGTTGTTCTCGGGATAGACGACCGGCCACAACGGGGAGTGGAATATATTTATATGAATGCAAATTGCCCGGGCCCATTCCTCATGTTCTGGCCCAAGAAGGCGAATTTCGTACTGCGGCGCCAGAGATAGGGTCATTTTGATCAAATTACCAAGCTGAGAATACGTGCATCAGATGTGGGAAAGAGGGGCTATTAATACCCGGGTTTCTAGCTGCAGTGTAACCATTGTCATTTCAGTACAGGGAGCTAGCTAGGTAGCTACGTGTTACAGGTATCTGATGCGTGGGATAGTGCCCCAAATTGCTTCCCGGGTACCATTGACTTGGCCTGTGTTTCCTATGACACAGCATGGACTCCTCGCACGTTATTTTGACGAGTTGGATTCTCTGTAGAAAATATGGGAATCGGCTTTTGATGCAAGGGATTACTATCGCTCGCTACAAGAAGGGACCAGTCCTAACCTCATCCAAATTAGGAATGTAGAATGTATAGCGACGGAAAAATAAACGCCTATAATGCACTATACCTTGAAAACATCATGGTCCTTCGGTGGCCCATCACCACATCCATTAATATCACATATCCCATATCCCATATATATCTCCTTCACTCTTCCTCGTTCACAAGTTCGCCCTGAACTCTCCGTTCCGGACGCGGACCAGCATTTCATATCTGCGTCTCGGTACTCAACACCCGGTTGAATAAAACGCAGAGTAGAATGCACCAATGTTGGACAAAGCAGTCCACTCTCTCTAGGAGCAAGGACTAGCAAAAGCCAGAACAATAAAGCGTAAAGAAAAAGTGCAGAAACGGCCCACCAACTCTCCGGCTCAGGAGTCAACACCAGTGTCGACAATAAGCACCCGAAGCACGTTCATTGTGCACACCTCTTCGAATGGAAAAAAAGAACAGGAAACAACACACCAAACCCCTCCAAAATTATCATGGCGCAGCCATATACCCGTTCTCACTCTCGCTTTCACTCTCATTTCCCCCCAAGTCACTCAAGTCCCGACTCCGATGGCCAGAATCAGACCACCGCCTCGCACCAGGCAAGACAGCAGATATACTGCCTGTTGAGTGCTTTTCACAAGTATAACCAACCAGGACAGTCTTTTCCTGTACTTCATGACCGCGCTGTCCATAAGCAGAGCATGGGTCGATCGAGTGCTCGAAGTAGAGGCATTTGCAAACGGAGTAACGTTCGACGACTTTGTAACACATTTCGCGTATGGTATATTGGATGGGATTTGGGGTGGGTTGAGGTTGGATGATGACTGTGGTTGTTCTGGGTTGTTTTTGAGAGCCGAAAGAGAAGAAGAAGCGAACCAGCCGATTGAATGAATAGAAGAAAAATATAACAGAAAATAAAGCGGACAAGTATAGAAAGATAGGCTGGCGGAAGAATGACCCGAAAGGAAATCCGAGGGAGTGACTGGGTTGAAAGACTGAGGGGGGTATATAGAGGAACTGGGGGTTATATATTTAGCGAGTATAGACCTGATATATTCACACATAATGCAATAACATATAAAATAATATAAAATAACATACAAAACCATATCCCGAGGGTCAGCCCTATGGGATGTAGCCCCAGGCAGAAACCAACGGGGCGCGCCCAATCGGCTAATAAGGAGGATGAATTGGGAATTGTTACTCCACTACGTAGACAGGTACTGGCTATGGACGCGGGTCTACCTGTGTCTGCATAGGTCGGGTTTAGCAACGTATCCATTTTACCCCTCTATGCTGTACATAGCGGGTGACTATGGAGGATAGTGGGGGTGCGATACACAATAAAAGACCAGTCCAGTCCTATCCCCTCAGCTGGAATGTTCACACTCTGACTCCGTAAATCTCACTATCGCGACACGGAAATAGTAACCGCAGCAGTCAAGGATCTACAAGTGTGGCAGGGAAGCGAAAGACGGTGGACACATAGGGAAGATAACCCCGCGACAGAGTCGGTGAGCCACAAGGCTGCGCAGCCGCATAATAGCGAGCAAATAGAATTGACACTGGATGAGGAATCAGAGATCGCGATATAACTGGCTGCGTGGCGTCGATCATGAATCCAATGTGCCCAGGTGGACATCCGGGCGTTTTGAGTCAGAGCCTCTTAACACAGCCACCCCGTCACAGGTCTAGGAGTGTGGCTTAGGTATAGAGCCGCCGTTGACCGCATATCGATGACTAGGTCTCCATGCGAATACTCTCTATTCTATTACACACTGTCGCATTCAAACGGTGACATTTTGTAGCGTGTAGATTAGGCGCCCGCATTCAGCTGCTGACGCTAACACGAACACGAACAGAGTTGACGGAGTACGGAGTACCGAGGGGGATTCGCGAGAACCGGTTTTTTTTAGCTCGACGCTAATCACGTTGGACACGTTGCATGATATACGGTACCTCGTGGGTTATCCGTCAGAGGCCGTAGGGCTGAGGGCCCGAGCCCCCGAGCCCACTTGCCGTTTTGGGTCGGAGGTCCAGGAAATTGTGTTGTTTTACGTGATATCGTAGATTATATCGTAGATACGCTCATATAGAGAAGGTATTGGCTCAAGAATTAAGTCGCGTGATTCTGATATCGTACAGCGCCTGTCATAAAGACAAAGTCCCTGAAGTAGATGTGTGTGTGTGCAAATGGTGCTAAGCTAAATTCATTTCCCGGATTAAAAAACACCCATTTTCAAAACTAGGCCTCCCTCTTACTCTAACTCCGTAATTTCAGATTGATCCCATTGCGCCGTGACTCAACCCGCGTGCTAATCCCAGCCGAAGGATCTGGAGGATATCCCCACCCTTAGCGGTCTCGGGAAGCCCGGCGCGCCAATCCCATCCGCGATCGGCGCTGGCTTTGTCACCTGGCGTAGGCACTAGGACGCCGGAGCTGCCCACGGAGGGAGGGTGGGATCCTGAGCCCGAGCGTGCCCGCGCTGACTCGAGCATGTCGTTGCCAATGAAGGCAAAGCTGGAGGCGGAGAAATTGGACACGGACTTCTTCAATAGCGCGCGCGGGGAGGGGGGTCCATCTAATCCTCCGCGCATTGACGATTGGTATTCGAGTAGGGTGGACCGGAAACATTCCTCGCACTGTGCGTAGACACGGGGGGTGACGGTTTCCAGGTCCTCGATTGCGGACAGGATGGTGAACTGTTGGGATACGGACAGGATTGCGGTGGGTTCTGGCGCCAGGTTAGTATCGGGGAAGAAGGTTGATGGGGTTAACTTGGAAGACTTACGGTTCACAAATGCACAGGCTTCACCCAGCAGAGCCAGCAGTCCATCCACCTGCACGGCGGAGTCACGGTCCGGGTCGTAGAGACCTCCGTAAATATTATCCGCCGCACTCCTAATGACAGCCGCAAGAGCTTGTGCAGCGGCGCGTCGCCGAGCCAAAGGCTTGTAGCGTGGTCGCTGGCCCTCTTGCAGTTCGAATTCCTCATCGCGGATCTCATAGAACCGGCGCAACGTCGCGTAACCACTGAGGTAGAACTGGAGAATCCGAGCAGCTTCTTCATCGATTTGTGCAATGGATGACAGGCACGCTTTGGGTTCCTTCATCAAAGAGCGCAGTTGTTCATCGAGATCGGCCGTCGCAGGGTACGCGCGTGATTGAACCAGACTATAGGAAATCAATAGGTCGACAACCGATTTGACCTTGCGTCGGCTCTGGGCACGAGCATAGCAGACGAGGGCTAGACCGAAATTTTCAGATTTTGAGGTCAACATGTCGCCGAATCGCTGTCAATAAGTTAGCATTTGGTCAGTCAAAAGGAATTCCCTTCTATCACTCACCTCAGATACCCGACGCCCTTGATCCTCCAGCTCAAGTTCCGAGCAGAGAACCACTAGTTTATCTAACTGCTCAGGGCTTTCCAAAGGAAGCTTATCCACGATCTCGGTCACGGCCTGCTTCATCTGGTTTGCATCGTCCATGCGGCTCAATACCTCAATAGCCAGCTCCCAGCCTTCACGGGAACTGTGCTCATCCTCAATAACGGTTCGGTCATACAGTCCGAATGCGTAACTGCGAAGAATATCGTCCTTGCGCAAATGGCGGGCCGGAGACTTGTTATCCTGCCCGTACGAAAGAACCATAAGATCATTTTCAGACAGCCCAGGAATCGTCTTTTGGCTGCTTGCGGACTCAAACCAACCTCCTAGGCTGGCAACTTCGGCCACAGCTGCGGCCACGCAAAGTGACCATGACTGTACCAACTCTAACACGCCCTGCACATTTCCTTCGAAGACAGATGCGAGACCGACTTCCACGCTGCTGAGCGGATTGGGTCGGAAATCAGCGGTGTCGGACCCATCACTGGTGGTGTGACTGAGGGCTAGTTCGAGGCGGTCGAGATAGGCGCCACGCATGTTGCGATCAACAGCGCGAACGTGGTTCTTTGGGCCACGCGAGCGCAGGAAATCTTGGAAGTTGTCGCTAGCGCCAAAATCCATGTTGGAACCGGTGTCATCCTCGCCATCCCACCATGCTGTCAACGCAATAGTCGCCTCCACCCAGTCTTGAGACTTGGCCTTGATGGCAGATGGGTCGCCCAGAATAATTCGGTAGATAGATCTCAAGCTCTGGTAAATTGACCATGGGACACGGCTCTCTGCCATGCGAGCCGATTGAGCAAATGAGATTGGGTTCTTATTAGCAGTATTTGAGTTGAAAGTGGACAAGCCAAAGTTAACAGCCTGGAAGCGATTCTCTGGAACCGGCATAATCGATTCATCTCGCTCCTCTCCCTCAGCGAATTCCTCCAGATCAGTGACAGCCGAAAGAACTCGTTTCCGGTACTGAGACCAATCAAGACCGGTGACTTCCCAGTCTTCAGCTTGGGTTCCAGGACATGATTCAAGAATTTGAAGAGCTTTGTTAACGCAACGCTGGATGTTTTGCAGCTGTGCGCCACGGTAGCCAGGCTGTGGAAGTCCATCCTCCATTGCTGACCGGGCGTAGTTGAAGTCTGCGGAACGGAGAACACCTGCGGCATCAGTCAAGCGACTACGCAGCACGGAAGCAATGATAATATCCCAGAAGTTCGAGGATGCGGTCGGGTTCGGTTCCACATATTTCAATGCTTGGAGCTCCTTGGTCTGCGATACGTGGTTGTCACTGAGCCAGTCAAGCAAAACCTGTGGTAGAGGCTTAGGGACGGGGAGTCTCGTCATGGCTTTCACCATGCCAGGGGCCCCGGTGCGCATGGGATTGATGTGGGCAGTCGACGCTGCTTCACGAGAAGGGTGGTGGATTTGGAGCAGCAACGAAGCCAAGAAGGTAGCTTTTGCAAGGTCGGAAGCCTGGTCCCCGGGCCCAATACCAGAATGGGCACCGTATGGCCGGTCAATCCCACTTTCGTTCGCGCAAGTCTGCCAATTATCTGTCAACTCCTTTGATATCTTCGCCAATACAGCATCGAAATCGACATGCTTGAATTCCGCGGCTTTGAGCTCGTCGGAAAGTTTTCCCAGGGCGTCCTCCGTTTTGAGAATCATCTCACTTGGCTCTTTAACAAAGGCAATGCGGGATCTGGTAGCAATATTGTGAAGAATTGATGGCATCGCGGACGGCTTCTTGGGGGCCAGGTTGGTCTTGCGGAGGGGAGACTGGTGCGCCCAGTGCTCGTCAAGCTTCGGTCGCTTGGCATCGTTTGGATTCGAATAGATCTGTTTGCGCTGCGCACCCATGGAGGGCTGAGACCCGAAAGGGTTTCCGAAGGCCGAGTCTAAGAAGTTGAAGTTTTTGGACTGATCCTGGGTGTTCATGTTCATTTCCTCTTCAATTGCCTCCTCTGCCTCTGGTTCCATCCCGTCTTCCTGCTCTTCATGGAAGTCACTCATTTGCGACGATGCAAACCCATTGGAATGTCCGAAATCCAGCGAATCCCCAAATCCGCCGTTCGGCACACCGAAACGAAGACTGGAGTTACCCTTGAACCTAGCGGAAGGGGCTTTGGTCTGCTTGGGCATGGCATAATCCGTCGATCCAAATGATGATCCGAAGATGCTGTCATTTGTATTGATGTTACCGGATTTGGTAAAGACCGAGTTGGAGAAGTCATTTCTCGAGAAGGAGTTCTGGTTTGTGGAGAATGCGCCATCGTTTCGGGAGAAGGAGTTGATGCGCGAGCCACCGTTGATGTTGGATGTAGAATGAGGTATGAATGAGCCTGCGGTCGATGGTGGCGGGCCAGCAGGAGTTGTCGACAAATTGCTCCAAAGACTGCGAGAGCTATCTTTCTCTGGAGTCTCAGGTGGACTGGACTCGTAGGGTACTTGGAATGACATCGCGGGGTGGGGTTGATCAGAATGAGAAGAGACGGGTCGACGGCATCAGAGGATGCAAGTTTTGGGTCACAACAGCTCTAAGAACTGTTAGATGGAACAAACGACGATAACAATCGACAAAAATTGATTCTGGAGGCAATGAAGAAGGTCGGCGCAGTTGATTGTTTGTCAGAGGAGTTCCCTCTTCTCGGGACTTGCTTGTTTTTTTTTCTCGCCCTTCACTTTCTGCTTCGACGCGACGGCGGAAGTTATGAGGCATCAAGGCATCTATATTTAGATCAGGTGATTTTACTCGAAGTTAGGTCACGTGAGGTGCTTACTCAGACCAAAGCATGCCATCACGTGGCTGTCGGTCACCAACTTGGGGCGATAACATGATTGGCTTATTGCTGAGCTCTGATTAGGCAGGGATCAGCAAGTCAGGTACGAAGCCACATCTGATGCATCTGATTTTGCCCCGGGGGTTCGACGAGCGACACTTCATGAACTCAAGCTTGCAAAGATGGATCCCAATCATGCTTAGTTCGAACAAGACCAAGCCTTTAATTGATCAGAGAATCTAGGTGTATAATTAACACGCTAAACTCAGGTTCTTGGAAACTAGTCACATTTCCACGGAGTACTCCGTACGGGGTAACACTCTCGACTTTCAAGTGTCTCAACTTTCAAGTGTCTCAACTTTCGAGTGTCTCAACTTTGAAGTGTCTCAGGCGTCTCCGGTTCATCAAATCCACATTTATCGTGTGTCCAGCCGCCGAGTATCTCAGTACCCACAGCTTCTAGCGCCACAACTACAATCTCAGACAAACTAAACACCTTCATGGCGCTAACTGCTCCTTCACACTTGGAAAGCCGGATATTACTTTCCACCGTACCCCGACTCCAGAGGGCCCGTCGTGGGAATGTGGAAGTTCCGACCCTTCTCCTTAAACTGTACGATCCGTCTTGGGACCCCGAACGATCCAACAAATGGATCGAGAATACCTGCACAAACAAGGCTTTTCGGAGTATATATTGATCCCGCATGCAGTTCGACGACGGGAGGAAGCTGATTTTTGCCTGGCAACCAACACTCGCTTGGCAGCGAATATGAAAACTAGTCGAGTAGACCAGACTATAGTGACGGCTTTTGTTCTAGCGGCATCTCTTCCAAAACAAGCAGCAATTTGACTATCTATGCAAACTAAGGCTGCGGTTCTACCTCATGGCGCTCATCTCGGGAATTAGCTTTTTTGAGAAGGTCAGCTGTGCGAAACAGAGCTCGGCGGGGGTGGGGCGGGCGTTGCAGGTGCGGAGAATCAGGTTGTTCGGACAAGTTTGAGGTTTAATTGACGGCCCCGTGGCGTTCTGGATATTACATAATTACGGATTTACGAAAATCCCGGACGGTTCATTTTAGTGTTATTTACCTATTATACCCTTGAGCAACTGCTATATTCTCTCACATTTGTTTAATTTGTTTTCACGATAGATTGTACTTTGTACAAAGTAGGCCAAATCAAATGTTCCAAATGCCCGAAGCCAAGCGAGGCAGTGCAAGCTGAGACAATGTTTCAGATTAGACAAGCCTTTTTCGATGGTTTGATCGACAGGGTTCGGTTACTAAGGGATATCCCGAGGTTCCTCCCGATGATATCGAATCCTGTTGCCTACCCCCGAAGAAACCAACCCTAAAAACAACCCGAGAGACCTAGAGCCTCATTTTTTTCTTTCTCTCAAGCTATGGCCAATCCAAAAATTGCATGACTATGGCGTTCCGACGACCACATCGGAAATCTCGCCACGGCTGCATGGAATGCAAGAGACGCCGAGTCAAGGTGAGAAAGAAAAGAGAAGGGCAAAAAATAGTATACTCATCCCATCACAGTGCGACGAAACCCGGCCAATATGCACCAACTGCACCAAGCGTCATTCTGAATGTGAGTACGGGTCGTCAACCTCCCTACTGTGGGCAAATGAAGACCCCACGGCACCATCTCTCGGGTCCGACAGCGGACAGTCTGGCGACCCAGTACGGGGACTCCGTTCATCGTTGAGTCCAAGTGCAGGAGCGGGAACAGCAGACTCCTTCGGAGTCCTAGGCCAGCACGGCAGTGAAAATGCCGCGATCTCAGCGGGATCCCCACTGAACCTCAACGACCTGGAGCTGATGATGCAGTGGTGCAACACGACATTCCGGACACTGTCACGCAACGAGCACACCGACCCAATCTGGCGCTACATCGTACCCGAAGAGGCGCTCTTACATCCATTCCTAATGCATGGCATCCTGGCCCTGTCATCGCTACATCTCGCTCGAACAGGGCCGGAGCTGACCCGTCGCGCGTCATATCTCAACCGTGCTGTCGCGCACCAGAACCAGGCGCTGGCGCTGTTTCGGGAGCTACTGGGCGACGTGAAGGAGAGTAATGCCAAGGCGATGTTTGCTTTTGCGGGAATTGTGGTTATCTACACGTTTGCATTCCCGCATACACCAGACGTGCAGGATCCGTGGTCCTGCGTCGATGATTTGTACCAGGTTCTCGTTTTGGCGCGCGGCGTGCAGCAGGTTATTTATGCGCCCCGGGACTTTACCAGTTTTCTAGAGGACAGTTCCTTCGGTCCGATTTTACAGGCCGAGGAGACTCAGGGTTCGATCCCCGAGGACACGACTGCTATGCTCAAACAACTGCGTGAGGCTAATGAAGTCTGCGGGGCGCGGGATAAAAATCATGACGTGCAGGTTTATAAAGGGTCCATTGCGAATCTGGAGGAAATGCTTAGTTGGTGCTACAGCGGGATGAGGGCAAGTACGATTGCTGGGAGGTGGGTGATCCGCTTGCATCCTCGGTTCATGGAGTTGCTACGCGAACGAGACCCCTTCGCGCTAGTTATGCTAGCGCACTATGGCGTGCTTTTACAATATTTGAAGCATCGTTGGTGCTTTGACGAGTGGTGTGTCAGGGTCTCCAAGGCCGTGTGGGCAATATTGGACGATCAGTGGAGGCCGCTGATCCAGTGGGCAATGAAAGAGATTCTTGGTGTTAACTTTCCGCAACAGGTTGGCACTTGACATTTTGAAGCATTTTTTTGTTACTTTCATATTCATATTCGTATACCCAAGTTCAAAGCGCCGAAACCGCGAGAGAAATCCCACCAATCCAAAAGAAAAACAATTTGGATCTCCACCTGAATATCTCCACAATTATCGCAACAAATCCCGATTCTAACCCATTAAACGATGCTTGAGCCTTCCATGGCCTTCAACCCACTTATAACTATCACAACTCTTTTCATCCCACGAAGATGATTCACCTCGCTAGGGTGAATGATCACGAAAATGACGCAAGCATCAACAATTCATCAATGACATAAATTAAAGGGGAAATTTTTATGATAAAACTATGCGTGCCCAGAGCATATTCTACGACATGAATGACGAATCGCATGAGAGAACGATACTGGACGAGTGGATGAAGCTTACGCCGGTGACCATTCTTCCCGCACCTTTGGGAGTGAGCATTGAGAAAGTCAATTGATCTGAACCAATCATGAAGGAGAGACATGAGGGGAATAAGCATACCAGAAGCCTACCTCGCCGCGATAAATATATCCAGCTAACCCAAATTAGGGCAAGCTGCTCCCCTTGGCCATAAAAATAATCCGGGCCTATTCCATGTAGATACTAGCTGAACAGGGTGGCAATAGGCAGCGATGTGATCTGCGTAATATAGCATGGTACCTACAGTATCCGCCGACTAACGGGATCAAGAATTGTGTTCTCGTGCGGAACAAATGAAATGTGTGCATTAGAGCGATAATTGCAAAGCGGACTAGGAGGGATGCTAATCCTGAATTTCTCCTTAGATCTGCAACGAGCACCAAGCAGTCCTTGGAAACGCAAATTCGTGTTAGGAAAGGCGAATTCGTATACTCCGTACTCCGGTATCCACTTCGGATAAGAGTTAAGCTTTGTGGCGTTCCGTATCAGGACTAGCGGGTATCCACTCATCTCATATGTATCGGGACAGCAATCCGAAGCCCTAGAGGGATACCTAGCCTGCAGATCTCGTGTGGGTACGGAGTAAAATGTCTCAATTCTTTCATCTAGGACCATAACCTACAACTTCGCCTGCTCACTCTTATTTTGCAGCACATACCGATATCTCGCCTTTCCCTCATGCATATCAACTAGCGCCTGATTAACATCCACCATATCCCTCTTCTGAATCCAAGGTAAAACCCTTTTCTTCGCAGCCAGAGTCAGCATAGCCCGAATATCATCAGGAGAACCAATATTGGACCCAGTAACCTTGACACTCTTCTGGATAAGACTCCAAGCCATAAGCGGCGGCAACGCATCCTCCGGCGCCCCAATCTGCACAAAAGTCCCATCCCGCTTAAGCAGTCTCAAATACTGCGCGAAGGGCATATCATGCGCCGACACCGTACACAAGATAAGATCAAGCGAGCGCGAATATTTCTTCGCCCACCCCTTCTCCTCACCCGTAGCAATAAACCCATCAGCCCCAAGGCCACCAACAGCATCCGCCTTCTTCCCCGACGATCGCGAAATAGCAACAACACGATCCGCCCCAAGCGCCCTAGCAAACAAAATCCCCAGATGTCCCAGCCCCCCAACCCCAACAATCCCCACCGTCTTCCCAGGCCCAACCCCATACTTCCTCATCGGCGCGAACACAGTAACACCCGCACACAGCAACGGCGCCGCCTCGGCCGAGGGCAGAGAATCCGGAATCCGGAATACGAAATGCGCAGGCCCGCGCCACCTCTCTGCAAACCCGCCATACGACTTCGACTTGTCGCTGTAGCGTCCGTTGTACGTGCCTGTCATGCGGGCGCAGTAGCTTTCTTCCCCGTCAGCGCAGGCATCGCAGTCTGCGCGTAGACAGGCGCCGCTCTGTGCGCCGACGCCGACGCGGTCGCCCAGACGGATCGCGTTCGGGCCCGATTGGGATGAGACGGCGCTGCCGAGGCGTGTGACTGTGCCGATTATCTCGTGGCCGACGACGCAGGGGTAGTCAGTTGGACCCCAGCCTGAGCGTAGAGTGTGGACGTCGCTGCCGCAGATGCCGCAGTGGGATATAGAAATTTCGACGTCGGTGGGTGTGAAGGGCTTGGGGGTGTAGGTTGTGTATGTTAGGGGGCTTTTGGCGTCATGGGCGACCCAGCCTTTGAAGGTGTCTTGATCTGTAGGAGGGGACATTGTTTGGTGGTAGTTGCGTTGTGGAGAGGTGTCGAGGTAGGTGTTGTGCTGAATTTTGATACGTTTGATGTATGCGAAATTAGAGTTCCAGAATTTATGAGGTTGAAGGAAACAAGCTGATGCGGAGAAGCCGAAGAAAAAGTTACCGAGGTCCATCTTAACTCCGAAGTAGAGATACATTATTAAATTCATATCGATTGTAGCGATTATGCGAAAGTTACTCCATATTTACATGCACTCGCTCAAAATGTGTACAATGCAGACTAGTGGGGGTATCAATTGATCTTTCAGCGAGCCACGCCCATCAGATCTTCAAGCTCATCAGTAGTGAGAGTACTCCGACGCCGGTTCGCTGGCCTGGAAGCCTTTTCAGGTCGGCTTCTCTTTCGTGATTCGCGCTCCTTTTGCTCATTTTTAGCTGCGCGGGCCTCGTCTTCGACGGCAGCCAGTTTTTGGTGCACGCTTGGTGGTTCGTTGGCTTTGGGCTGTAGGGCGAATCAGTGCTCGGGGTCTCATTGGGAATCTTATGGGAATATCCTGGGAAATAGTTCTCGTTGCATACCTGCTGGGGTTCCTTTGTCTCGATCTTTCGCCTGGTTGGCCTGCGGGTCACAGTATCGGCTTTGTAAGCTTTGATGTTGAGGGTATCGTCGTCGGTATTATCCACACATGGTGAGCCGTGTAAACCTGGCGTGAATGAGACCTTTCGGGGACGCTTTGTCATGGTATTTTCACTGCGTTCCCTCAGAACGCGATCGGGTCGCTCGGGTGCTTTGCGAATCTTAGATCCCATCTTCAGAGGATTGAGCCTCTCAGGCTCTGGTGCTTTCTCCTCCGCTTCGCTCATATCTTCCTCCTCAGCTTGGTCCTCCAGGATTGTCGGGATAGGATTGGACTCTGCCAAGCTTTGCATGCTCATGTCCTCGGTTGAGTTAATGCTGAGATCGAGATTCATGCCGCGCTTCAATTCGTCCGCTTGGACAGAATCTCCTCCATCTGCAAGACGTCGCTGCCACCCACCCATCATGGTAACTGCCTGCTTCCACCGGGATTCCATCTTCACCCAGCCTTCCCGCAGTCGTTTAATTTCCTCGTCTCTCACCTCGACCTCCTCAAGAGGCACGAATGAGGGGTTGGTAAGCAGCGTTTGTAGATGCTCTAGCACTGCTTCCATGTGACCGGATAGTTCTTCACACGAGGTTGGAAGCGAAGTAACCGGTCCTGAAGAAGACTTCTGCGCTCCTCCGCTCATCGCCATACCCAATTGCTCATTCTCGCCATTGCCATTGTCAGTCTCCGTCAAGCCCTGTAGATCCTTCAAAGTATGAACAGTGTTCCGCGCAAGCTCAATCAGGGTATCGTTCTCATCACTGAGGTGTTGACATAACTCGGTCAAGAAGTCGGTGGTCTCTTGCTTCAAGCTATATCCAGGGTCATGTACTCGTTCTCCGCCACTAGCCAGAAGACGCGATCGATCTGAGGCAGGGTTGATATTGATCGTAGTCACACTCAGACCCTCACGCTTGCCTCTTTGTCTCTCAGCCAGATGCGACTTAAGCTTCTGCATTTCCAGATCTCGCTTGCGAATATCGTTTGCGCATTGCGCTCGAACTTGTTGGACGGTACTCTTCATGCGCTGGACTTGTTCCTTGAAACTTCGGATGTTCGCTTCGGCCCGGGACATGTTGGACTTGAGCGTGCGCTCCTGTGCCTCTGCCAGAGCTAGCGAGCGGGTCAACTCGGATGTCTTCGTTTTTAGTTTTCCCTGTAGGAGCAGCAAAGGTTAGCGCGCTATGCTACAGAAGTAGAGTGGAGACATACGATCTCCGTGGTCTGCTCCGCCTCGCTGGCTTGCAACGTGCGAATAGTCGCAGATAAGCTCTCGCGGTGTTCGGACTCGCGCTAGTATTTGTCAGTCGCGGATGAAGGCGCAGCTCAGTGCAATACACGCACGTCTCGTCTCAACACTAAATCGTTGACCAAATTGATCACACGAGCCATGGTGCCGTCTATCCCTCCATCTTCGTGTTCTGGGTCAGCAAAATCGATGGCACGACCACCTTTCAGCAAGCCCCTTGCTAGCAGGATGTTGTTGACATAGGTCGAAGCTGCCTGCAGGTTATGCGACTCCATGGCAGCGATCACTTCTATTGTCGATGCAGATAACTCCGAATGCCGAATGGGGAAGAAAGTAAACACGTAAATACGGGAGGCTGTTTGTGCCAAGTGTGCAGCTACTTATGCGGTGAGGAAGGAGGTGTGATTCTGCCAGTTCATCGTGGAATTGTATCGCGACGCGTCAAGACTTCCAATTTCATTGGATATTTCCTCAAGTATTCCGATAAAGAGGTAATCCAATTGGACATAACCATTTATCGAAAGTCTGAAGAGGCAGCCCTCAATCCAGGAGCAATTGAATGATATGCTAATGGTAGTATCGTGCCATCTTTATTACATGACGCGTGGGTATAGGCCATTGTCCAATCTCCATGTCCTATTTGTCCCTTGCGTGGCATTAAACTCGCTCCTACCCCACTACTTAATCCTCACCAACCGCCTTTGCATCTGCTCTTCAACATGGCTTCAAGGTCAGGTACGCGTATGGTACGCGGAGTAATATCAAAAAAGAAGCCTGACATAGAGCAAGCCGCTGCTCTTCAACGTGCCGGCCAAAATGCATACAAAGTTGGTGATCTCCAAGGCGCCATTGAGTCCTTCACCCAGGTATGCCCTACCTTGTTTGTTCCGTCGCGACTCCTACTAATTTATCATCCATACATCTAGGCATGGGTGGCAAATAACGAGGATACTAGTATCCTGGATAATCGTGCCGCCACCTATTGCAAGCTAAAGCAGTACAGCCAAGCCCGCGCTGATGCGAGAGCAATGGTCAAGCTTGCACCGAATGACGACCGTGTATCTATCCACCACAGCGCTTATTTATCAACTGTGGATTCATGGCTGACTTTGGGAAAAGGGATACCTGCGATTGGCCAAGATACTATGCCTAGATGGGAACTTTGACAAGGCCCGTGACATCTACGAATATGCCCTCCAGAAACTTCCAACCGATCACCCTGGCCGCAAGGTATGCTTTTCTTTCTTCACTTTTTGTTCTACTCAGCCCTGGAGGTTTACTCCTTTAGTTATATCTCATTGACATCTTCCCCCACCGTATCATGTCCCACTCTTTCTTTACCGTTATTAACCATCTCCAGGCCATCGAGCAGTTACTTAGAAGACTGCAGGATAAGCTGGCAGGAGGGAACCGGCGCGACCCATTTATGGTCCTGCCACTAGAAATCGCAGAACTCACACTTCAGCGCTTGCCTTTCAAACAGATTGTGTAAGTGTACATCCTTACCTCTGAAATCCACTAGCTCATTACGGCATATAGGGCAATGCTACGTGTCTGCAAAGGATGGAACCGTTTTCTGAGCGGTCTAGCCAGCTTATGGATGCATCTTGACCTCACTGGAGCTAGACTTCGTGTACCTTGGACATCCGTCCGAAACTACATCCATCGATCGCGCGCGCAACTGACTAATGCCACGATCACAAATATCCCACCCTCTACTATGACTAAGGTGCTTGATATGCTAAGCAGATGCCCCCAATTAGAGCACTTGGAGGTGGCGGTTCCCCATGACCAGCCTAAACAGTTTTACTCGAAAATCCAAGATTTTCGACATCTCAAGAGTATCGTCTGTGGGGCAGACATCAGGCTTTCGCATGCAAGTGTTGGGGGCATTCTATCTACCCTCTCGAAACTTGAGAGAGCTGCTTTTTTGCATGTTTGGGATCATTCTAACAGAGGACCCCAGACATGGCCCCAGCATCTTCCAAATATGAAAAGTCTGACTATTGCATCTTCACAAGAAAATAATCAATTTTTGAGCTTCCGGGATGTACTTCCGGGGTTGGGATTGGTAGGCATTCTCTGAATTTAATATCTGGGACTTCCGCTGACATAAATCAGTCTGTGTATCCCAATCTAGAGGAATTGCGGCTGGTCTGGGATCCCGCGCGATCACAATCATACCGGTTTGATCCGGTGAAGGAGGAAGAACAACTTCCCCCGCTCCGCATACTTGATCTTCGGGGCGCGGCGGTCCAACATAATTTCTATTCAATCCTTCCAACCAGCCTTGAGACTCTACGGTTGTTTTCAGGGTCCATCGAGGCTTCTCATCTTGGTGGGAATCTGTTGACACCGGGAGAGAATGAACTCCCGAATCTAAAGACCTTGGTATTCAATGATACCCCATGGGTCAACCGCTCCACCCTTTCCTTATTCCTACTCCATTCGAAGGCTCCCCTCCGAACTCTTCACGTCAACCTTTGCCACAACATCAAAAGCGAAGAACTCCTTAATGTGCTCAACGATTCCAACGGAGCGAATCCAGAATTGAAAGAATTGACTGACGTCGGAGTTGCCTGCATGGCGGGCATGGACGATACCAGTGTCAAAAGTCTGTGGGTAACATTGCCAAACCTGAAAATCCTCGACTTGTCGCAGACGAGAATTACCGGCTGTACCATTCGCATGTTTGCGGATACCTGGACTGAAGGACCAGCCACCGCAAAGCTCGAAGGCTTAATTATAAAAGGATGTGACGATGTGTCTCGGGATGCAATTGACTATGGACGGCAAATGGGACTCAAGATTGTCACTTAGGGGCTTGGCAGCGCTCTAAGGATACTTATCTTAGGGCTTTTGGTAGACAATTGTCTAATGCACTACCCTTGTAAAATGATCAGAAATAACCAAAGATACCTGCGCTTGTATGAAAATGATGAATGATATGAATATAAACTTGCTCTCAGAACTTGGAGGTGGAGATAGTGTCGAGAGGCTAGGGGATCAGAGGGCAAATGCATGGGAAAATAAGAAGAGAGAAACAAGCTGGCAGTCCTGGAAAACACATCATGTGATAGCAGCATACGGTGGCATATGTATGTACGCATGCTAGGTCTTCAAACAAATCAAAGAGTGCATCAATTCAAACTAACTAAGACGGAGAGAAAGAAGAAGCAAGTGCAGAAGTGGGAGAGTGCCTGCCTATATAACTGGCACTTCTGCAAACGTCGCAAACAACAAACGTTTTGAAAGAATAAAGGAAACAGCAAACGTGAGGCAAGCAAGTAAAAAAATAAGCATGTGATGCTATAGAGGATCGTAACACGCATAATGGCCGGGTAATAATACCAAGGGTACCTGAAATCCAGAACTAAGAAAACCATCTAAACCCCACGTTCCTGACACCACCGCTCAACCTCTTTGGCCAACTTCTCCTTTTGATCACGCACAAGCTCCATCATGGGCTCAACCTGCTTCCTGTGCGAGGCAACAAGATCCTCACTACCATTGAGAGTAACTACACCATCCTTCGGCGCAAGATTCTCGTCATAGATTTTGACCATAAGCTCCATAACAGCTGAAAGCTGGTTTGGAAGCCACTAAAACCCCAAAGCAATCAGCATGATGATACTCATAAGTCAGAGAAATCGGACTTGACTCACGGTTACAATAGGACTACCACCAGTAGCGGTAGGATGCGGTGTGCGACGAATAATATACTCACGCGCGAACAACCAGTGTCGCCAGCGGAAACTGCGGATGTGGTTGAGTGTGCGCAGGAAGAGGACTGCGGTCTCGGAGTCTTGAATGGCGTAGTTTTGGACGCCGATTTCTTCGGACTTTTCGCGGATGTAGGTTAGGAATTCGCGGTGTGGGAGAGGGCGATAGGCGCGGAATTCGTGGAGGATTTTGGTGAGGGGTGTTTCGGGCATGGGAATTTCGCAGAGATGATCTAGGAGGGGGATCTGGGGTTGTATTAGTTGGGTTATTCTTTTTTCCCTCTCTTGGGTTCCATTGGATTGCTTACGATGCTATCATTTGCACCGCTCTCACCGCGGAAGTAGAGGGGCTTGTTGCCTTCACATCCTTCGTAGATCACGCCATTCGGGAACATGGATTGGTTGGTGATGCCGAAGATGAAGACGCGGAAGGAGAGGTATTCTGATGGCTTGGAATTGCCCCACATGTCTATTTCGATGTCAGTTTGGAAGATCTGGGGATGTGTTTCGTATGGTTAGGGTTGCATACCTTCCATGGACGCTTCGATTTTCTCCATCGACTTTAGGATCTCGCGGAATCCGTCGTTGATATCCTGTCGGGAGCCATGCTGCTCAAGATTATCCACAATCTTTAAGACACCGGCAATCAGTGGGCCAGTCTCCTTGACCATGTCGACATGAGTCAGGATGAAGCCTGCTTCGGAGCTCTTGGGATCGAGACCCCTCTCGAAAGACCGAATCAGACGAAGGTTCGAGTACTCGCTCAGACCCTTGGCAGGGTCGGCAAAGGTATAGTTGAATAGAGCATATGAAGCAGCATATGACATGAAAGGTGGCAGGTTCAGGCTATGGATAATTGTTAGTTCCAGTGTTGTACGACGAAGATATATCAAAATAATCCACGAGATAGGGCAGTAAGAAAAGAAAGATAAGAAGAAAGAAGACTTACATCTCAGCACAGCGATACATAGGACGGGCAATAGACTGGGGCAATACATCGCGACCAAGTCCATAGCCACCTGCTGGGTCTTTGTTCCAGTGCTCCCAGCAAGGTTCGAGCAGGTAAGACGAAGCCAGGAAGGTATAGTCACGGAAGACCGCAGCAATAGTGAAGCGATCAGGCGAACCATCAGCGACAACGAGCTTCTCGACCTCGTCAGTCAAATCAGTAAGCTCAGCCTTGACAGCAGGGCCGAGCTCATAGGTAGCCAACAGGCCGGGCTTGCCATCGAGCCTAACGACAGGGAGGCGATTGACTAGAGACAGCAGGGCACCGAAGGCCTCTGGCAGCTCAACAGGGGCAGTCTCATAGGGCAAGAAGCCTGTCTTGGTGGTGATGGTGAAGGGGTCCAGGGAGTGGGAGATGGACGAAGGGTCATCATGGATGTGAGGGAACCGCCTCAGGGTAGTTGGGGAAGGGTAGGGCACTTGGGTTCGAGTCATGATGATATGAGATGAACCAGAGAAAGGAGAAGACTAGAAGGCTATGATATATGGGTGTAGTAACAAAGGGTGTTTTGGGGTAGTATAGGGAAGGGTGTAGATATATAAGCCAAAGGACAAAGGAGAAGGCCCAAAGACCAAGTCAAGAGCCTAGGTAGTGGGTGAAATGGGTAAAAAAAGTCGGGGAAGAAGCTAGAAGACCTCGAGAGATGAAAAGAGAATTGGAACTTTGAGATTTTGGGCGGGCGAGGAGCAGATTCTTATAATACTTTGAGGCCGGTAACAATTCCGGCCTCAAGCCCTCATTACGAAAGAGAATAGGAGATAGCGTGGACCTGGTGACATCAGGTGCAACATGATGAAAATTGGTTCTATCTATCCTAAATAACACTCGAGACAGTTCATATGAGTATTTTTAGCCAGAATAAGATATTTTCACATCCATCTCGACATCCAGATGAACTATACAATTACCCAGTTAGAGAGGGCAGAGGACGGTCACGGGGTGGCGCTAGTCCCGATACAGCAGGGGCTCTAACAGCCGGTTTGACTGCTTTACCTGGGATTTAACGGAGATTTGTGATGGGAAATTCCAAATAAGGTGTTTAAAAAGTCTATAGCAAAGATATTGGCCATTCACTGATGAATTACTACAGATGAATGGCCAATGTTGTCTACTTAAGTCGTGATGTATACTCTATAGTCCATGGACTGCCAAGCGGAGATCCCCATATCCCGCTCTCTGATTGGACGATAAGCCCAGATTTAACTTCCCTAGCGTTCGGAGGCCGGAATACTACCGGCCTCCGAGAGTAGCCGGCCTCGTTATATGTGCCGGGTTGATTTGATATAGGACAGGCTCATAAATTAGTATGATACCTTGTGGTGATTCCCGAGATAAAGCGAAGATTGACTTATAAACAGCTCCATCTCTCTAAAAATCTTATTATCTTGTTATTTGAGGAAGAAGTCGCACTTAGTATATCTCTAAATATATTAGAAACAAACAAAAGAACCTATCGTACATTTGCATCCCAAAAGTACCGAAAGTACTTGATCTATTCAGTGACTCTCTAGTATTATATATTTATTGTATACCACGCGATTAGATATGAATGATCTCCGTTGTTGATAATCTCACGATCCGTCGTTCCCTTCTATAATCTTCATACAAATGCACGCTCAGTCCTATTCACCACCAAAGTCCAAGAATTGTGATAGAAAGTCCCATGCAACTGCGGCAAAAAATACTGCAAGACCGCATCCCCTACACCAGCTGGCAGCGACCTCTTGTCACCCCAATAGTGCCTCACCAACTCCCCGACACATCCCGTAGCTGCGACCCCTGGGCACCCATTTGCCTCTGCACAAGATAGGACTCGAATGTCCTCCGATCTGTTAAATTCATACCTGACGTGGTTCCCAAATGCAGATTGCTCATGTGGCCATTCTCGGCCCCATTTAGCGCAGTCTGGATAGCGCGTTTCAGTGGGACAATCGTCCCACGCCTCAAAGAGTTCATGGGTGCGAGGGCTTTGCTGGGCAATAATAAATCCAGTGTTGAGAAATGTCCGGCCGTTCCAATCAAGGTTGTGAGGTGCTTCTGGATCGAGCGCCATGGCAACCAGAGTCTCCGGAGTGATCTCCCAGTAGTTGAATAGCCATTCCATGGGTAGATTGGGGTACGGCATCATGGCGTCTGAATCCATGAATACAACGTATTCGTAGTGTTCCAACGCTTCTTTGATGGCGGTGACTTTGATCCATGTTCCACTTCGCCCGACTGCTCTGGGGATCTGAACTAGTCGGTAATCGTAGCCATGGATCATTGCTATGCTAGTCAATCACACCGTAGGAACAGATAGAAGTGTGACTACTTACCGAACATGTAATGGTTGAGTCTTCCACTGACATCCGGAGGAAGTCCAGTCGCGTTCAATGGAACCTTGCTCAAAAGACCTTGAGGGCCATCAAGATCCCGACTATCGGCGTCCAAAATGAGGATCTTCTTTCCTAATGGTTCGGTGAACCTTAATGGCTCCGCAACCCAGAAGGCTTTCCCTGTGCGGCCAATAAATATGGTTCTAGTAATGGGGTGTATGTAGGGATTGTATAGTTTGCGGACCGTGGAGGAGTATAAGTGGCTTTCGACGGTCCATAGGAAGTGCTTCCTATACTAGAGTCAGTCCTCAACTTCAACATTTTGCTTTGCGTGGGCTCGTACTGGGACGGCTGATCGATTAATACACTGTTCAAGTAGGAGTATACCAAAAGCAGCGCACACACGATCAGACTCGAAGTAAAAATAGCGGTTATTCGGCGAGGAAACATGAGTCCTGACCTTGGACGAGGCATGGGGATGGTACATTTCCGGAGTTTCCGATCTGTAGATTTGACATAGTATGGATGGAAGTCGATTGAAATGACATAATTTCGATGAAGTAGGACTTATCTCACCCAATTCATCCATTTGAGTCCTCACCTCTTGCCGCTTTTTGCTCGGAGGGACTAAGCACGCCTTTTTCTGATCTGGTCCTTATTTTCGTACTATGCCATTGAACAAAAAGTTCTCCGAATATATTTCCAGGGTTCCGACGCTGCTTTTTCTGAATTCTAATTTTTTTGACCAAATTTGCCGTCTCTTTAGTTCGCAGTTCCATTTAAACGGTAGAAATCGATGAAAGTACAGCGCAGCTCCTAATCCCTTAGTTGTCCAAGCGAAGGTCCCATTTGAATCAGACATAATGTCTCCATACCCCTTCGTGATACCGTATGGTCCGTATCGGAACCTTGGAAACCGGGCCGAAATTGCGGGGGGTCAAGTGGTATATCATATTCCTAAGGCTTTCCGTCTTTTTTTTCTCAGTTTCCTCATGTCCGCAGAATCATCCAAATGTTGCGTCGCATGTGGTTGGACGCTCGAGCAGCAAGAAAATTGCGCTTATTCGAGCCACCTTAAACTCTTTTATGGCGCCGGCAAGCGGGGAACATGGTCGATTGGGTCTGATGTTATTTTGAAAGAACGCCCCGATGAAGGTCCAAAAACCGAAGTGACCACCTTGAAGCACCTTGCAGCCTACCCCGATATCCCGGTTCCAAAGATATTGCGTGACTGGGTCGACGGCAACGGGCAGTACTTTGTACTTCTAGAGCGGATCCAAGGTCAAACGCTCGAACAGGCCTGGTCTTCGTTATCAGATACCCAGAAAATAGCCATCGCAGATGAATGTATTGGAATTCGAAAGCAGTTACGATTAGTCAGCACCTATAGAAAATGTTGATCAAACTCCTTGTTTTCCGGGCCTACTGTTTTTTGACAGTGAGCCGCATGGACCTTTCCACTCTGACATCGAGCTTTGGGATGCCCCAAGTCTTACTCTACACGATCCACCTACAAGGTCGTTCCCTCAACGAGCCCTAGCAAATCTGAAGGAACGGCTGCCCAAATGTGAACCCTACGTCCTCACCCATTGTGATCTCAATTTGGGCAATATTATGGTGAAAGACGGAAGGCTGGCTGGGATACTCGATTGGGAATTTGCTGCATATTACCCAATTTGGTATGAGTACGTTTCAGCCTCTTGGGGGTGGACAGAGGAGGATGCCCAGTGGAAAAAGCTTTTACGAGAGCGTATGGCTGTACATGGCGATGAACATGAGGATGCGAAGGAATTCTGGACGGATTTGCATCATTTGAGAAAATACCCAGATTTGGACGAAAAAAGGCCAAGAAGTTTTAGAAAGGTTGTCTGCGGATTAACGACAATGTATAGGAAAACGAAGGTCCGGGGGGATTAAGCCGGCAAGAGAATTTACTAAAATCGATCTAGATTTCAAACCATCCTATCCAATGAGACGACCTTTCAAACAAGCTCATACAAGTATACCTCCCACATCCCATGAGAATCTTCAAAAAAAGTTATGTCATCCCGATCAAGCCATTAAGATCCTGGAGCAGCTGTTGTACCAGCTCCATATTATCTGATTTCTCACGCAATGCCTTCTTGAGTGCACCGGCTGCCTCCTTGGTATTTCCAGGCACTACCTCCTCAGACTGCAGTTTCTTCTCTGCAGACTTGATACTTTCCTTCGCACTTCGAATCTGAGACCAATACACTGAGGTCTTGTTGAGATATCCAGTCTCCTCAAGAGGCAAGTTCCACTTTTCAGGAGTCATTTCGACAACATCCAACCATTTGGCCATGTGCGGCCATCGGCGCTCCTCCAGACCCGGGAAGTGCACGAGCAGATCCCCTCTTTTGCCTTCATAGGCCCAGTCCCATTCATAGGTATTGATCCACGGTCGTGGCAGATAGGAGACTCCATCTGCGTAACCCTGTCCACTTGGACCCCCCGTCGTTTTGTTGAGCACACGTCTCATGCTTTCTTGGTCAGCAGATCGACCAAGGTCAATCTGAGGGAGATAAAGAGGGTAGCCCAATGTTTCGGTAAGGAAACTGATCATCCAGGGATGGACGTGGAGGAACATAATCCCCGTGTTGAGGCCGTTTTGGTCCTGGCTTGCCACTAGGTGGATATCTTTCAGGTCGGACGGCGGGAGGAAGATTTCCACGGGGATGTCATTGTTCAGTATAATCGAGTCTGCGTCTACCCACCTGCGCGAATTAGCATTCTCAAGCATATACAAAGAAAGAAAGGACATACATCAACCACTCCATTCTCTCGCCGGCTGGCTTGGTCAATTCATTGACAACCAAGGATAGCAGATAGCTCGGTTTGTTCCAAAATCCGATCGAGATATCCTGCCGCAGGATATGCATGGGGTATCCCCATTGCTTCCCATGGCGTTCATGGCTTTGTAGCGCTCTTTCGTACATATGGTTCGTCTCTCCGTATAGCATGGACACTTTGGCGACCCTTTGCAACTTGTTACTGGGAGCATTTTCCGACTCGAGAATAGAAAAGGAATTGACTGAATTGGCTGTGACCCAAACAACACATGTTACTGATAGAATTATCAGGACGATGTGCAAGGGTCGTTGTTTGAATGCCAGTTGGTGTGGAATCATAGCCGTCATCACCGCGTAGGTGCTAGGCTTGTTCCTCATTGTGGGTGTGGGTGGGAAGATGAAAAATAAATGCTTCCTTGAGGTTCAGCCGGGACTATTGCCAGATTCGGAATTGAATGCTTGATTGGAGGCTCGTGAGTTGTATGAATTCGTACTTCCGGATTGGGAATTCCGTTTTCGGTAACTCAGGTACACCCCGTCTATACCGACTAATAATGTCCAATTAATTTAGTTTATAAATAGATATCGATCCAATCATTTGAAGACAAAGCTCGCTTATTCTAGGACGCATGGAAATGCGCTGTGTTGCGTACGGATACTTACGGTCCACTGCCCACATGGTGCGTATGAAGCCCACAAAGGTGTGCCGGTGTATATTGATGATAAGAAGCGATGTCGCCGATCTCATGAGAACATTCCTGCGACTGACCGCAGCACCTGATAGATTACATAAGAACATTTAAGCGTCTAACTAGACTACATGGCACCGGAGTATTGTAGACCATAATCACAACAGAACGTTCGATTATTGTCACTACAGCGGTGTATATATTACAGGCCTTAAGGTCCGTTCGAGATTATAAGAGAACCAAGATCGCTTGGAAACTACAGCATTAACTACAAGATACCGTCCAGACGACGCCCAAACTGGTAGAGAGACGATTTCATGTTATATGATACAGATGAGGGTATATTATACACCACATTTTCAAATATTTGTACAACAGCGCATATTCATACAACTTTAACTCCACTTTCCCATGCATCAGCGACCTGGCCGTCATTGGATTCATTGTATAGCCCGAGCGCATCCAGTCCGAATCGCAGACTAGATCCCGCAAACGAACGCAGCACAATATACACAGTCATATCTACACTATGACCCTGGACTCGTGTTCTGACTAGTTGTTTTTGAGTCGCCGGTGGTGCTGTGTACCGTCTGGAGCTTGAGATACTCCTGTTCGAGGGCCTTTTGCATTTCAAAGTCGGCCTGGCGTTCTAGTCGGACACGCTGCTTTTCCATATCACGTTCGACTCCTCTGTGCATAGCCTAGCATCCAACAACGTAAGTATATACCAGAAACAGGGAAGAGAAGCTGTAACATACCGCTCTATCCGCCTCTTGTGCCCAGTGGACAAACCAGACAATACCCATTGTGCCGAGGCCAGTGGCTGCCAATGTAAACTTTGATGCGCGAGACATTGCAGGATATGTGAGAGCACGGCTCGACGCAGAGATTCGGCTGGTAATGGTCACAAACAATGTTTTGGCCTGTCAGATGTTCATCAAAACGATTCCGGGATTATCAGATCACCGGGCGGCGTTTGGTGGCAGAACCCCCACCGCTCTGGGGGGCGATGCGTGGCTCCGATCGACCTAGGCTCGGAGCTACAGACTCGCCGTTTAATCGTCCCTGTCCTGCCTTATTTCCCTTCTACCCTATTTCCAAAGCTGAGAGGTTTCTAGCAAATATGGTGAGCAATCTGTCTCAGAATTGGTGGCCAGCTGCTAACGGTGAACAACAGTCGGCTCAGAACTCCGCGGGCATTCAGACCCTCCTCGATGTAGGTCTTCGTTGTATGTTGAGCGCATCGTGGAGATACTAACCATGGGACTGCTAGGCCGAGAGAGAGGCCCAGAAGATTGTGCAGAAAGGTAAGTGTCTTACCCCTCATCGCTGCCTATCACAAACACTAATACGTCACGTTACATTTAGCCAGAGAGTGTACGCAATACAAACTTACCTGTCGTCATTCGCACCATCGAACTAATTATTTCGCAACTCTACAGACCGTACCCAGCGTATAAGGGATGCCAAGTCAGAGGCCCAGAAGGAGATCGAAGAATACAAGAAGCAGAAGGAAGAGGAGTACAAGAAGTTCGAGACCGAGGTGAGATACAATTCCTAAATGGCGGTCATAACAAGAGGCATCCACAGTGCTAATTTGACTGGTCTCACTAGCACTCAAGCGGATACAAGGTAGCCGAGGCCGAGGCCGACAAGGAAGGCGAGGTCAAGCTCCAGGAGATCAAGGAAGCCGGCAAGAAGCACGGCGAGAAAGTGGTCGCAAATCTCATTCGTGTGACGACCGACGTCAAGCCCGAGGTGCCTGAGAATATCAAGGCATAATGTAGATACTCTCGGTTATCTTTTCTTTCGTCGCGTGAATGCGCTTGCGTGTCTGTTCATCGATATCCAATTGTCGGACAATATCAATTTCTTTTTGGCTTAACCCTGTGTATGATGTGGATGGATTCTGGATCGCTCGTTTTGGAATACGCATGTCGTATTCCTATCCCATGGTGTCCCTGAAATTTTGGCTTGACTCTAGGCTTTTCGGTTGACAGCACGTCTAGGTTTCACCACAACACAGAGAGCTATGCCTAGGCAAACAGCTCACCAGTATACTAAGCCATACAACACACCTTGATATTCGTATCTGTATTACGGGACGGCAACAAGAGGCGCAGGGTGACTCAATGCGCTGTCCAAACGTCTGGACAGGTATCAGCACTCATCCCTGTTGAATGGATCCTTGAGCGACGAGTTACTGCTGGTAACACATTCTGGCACTAGTGGCACTGTTGGTTTTAAGGAGTGTCTGTCCCAATATCAGAATAGTGTATAATTAGCGTTTGAGATTTGTCTCTTAGGCCTTGAAATGTTTGATTATATTCTGAATTATTCCGGCGCGAAAAGAGGCCTATCCTAATGAATCAAGCCCTGAATTTCTAGCTGATAACACATATCTTTCTCTTTACATAGGTACATATATAGGCTACGCTCTTGGTGGAAGAACACACTGGTGAATAGTATTAAACAGTGGGAAATGGCGGGTGGGAAGCCGAAGTAGGAAGTAGGTGTCGACCAGAAATGAACCCATTAGACCCCCTAATATCACCTTGGTTTTTGTTATGCGGACACTTCGATCCGGCAGATCAGTAACTCAGTAACTCAGTAACTTCGCTTAACTTCAGGGTGAGTACGGTCTTGTACGGTCTTCGAATAGATCGATCCTTGCATCTCTAGTTGATTTCTATAAATCTGGCATCCATACGTAGCTAGTAAATAGTGATGATTTCAAATTTTAAATTTAATCAATACAATATCTCTTTGTAGTTGAAAGATCATTAAGAGTAAATTAAAAGTGTTCCGATCAAACATTGATCTGTATTAATTGAACCATGGACGAGGCTGTTGATTTTATAGAGAGAGTATCTAAGTACTGACCAATAACGTATTTTACTACCGAGTGGGCCACCCATCCAAAACGCGTCGATTAATTTAAACCCTTCTTCTTCAACTACCAACTATACCACCAATTCGCTCTTAACGCTCTAGAAATTTAATAGAGTAAGAGGGTAGGATCTTACTAGCTATCTAGGCTTTTAAGAATTAAGAAATTTCTTTAATTTGTGAGATAGTGTGCTGTTTCGAAATCCCTTATACTACCTTATAACGGCGCCTTACCGGTAATACCTTTTGTCCTAAAATATACTGTCAGAATCTAGGATGAATACTGTCATTTTTCATCCCTGATACAGTTGGGTCACGTGACTGACCAGGCTGGTTTTCCGCCCGAAAAACATCCTTTCATTTTGTTTTGTTTGTTTGATTACTAAGTTGTCCATCAGATTGTCATGTTTTCCGGACTATTGTCATTTTTAGAGAGTTAGAGAATTGATTGAGATTTTTCTGCCACATATACATTCGCCTTACCACCGTTTTTCCGTCAGGTTCATATATAGGTCAATGCCGTTATAGTTATCCAACCATCACTTGCGTAATAAGGCCATATCCCTAGGGCTGACCGTAAGAGGGCTCAGGTGATCAACAAGACGTCCAACGAGACTACATTAGTATATGAAGAGCGATATCATTTAAAATAGCAGTGATATTAGGCGATTTTTAGGATCTACTACGCAACACAGAACAAGCGCTTTTCGACACGCCTCTCCACTATATTGACATAGTATCCGAACAACATTGGCGTCGAGGCCATCCTATTGAGTTTTGCATTCCATTCCAAGTGACAGCCTGTGTCGGGATTTAATTTTTCCATTTCTACGCTCTGGCGGAACTTAGTGGGCCTTGGGAACGAATGAGCATGCTGAACCACGAATGCTTTTGCTCGCAGTGTGCAGCAATCCTATCCCACACCTGGAGGCTCTCTTCCCGACGCGCGCACCTTCCTCCAAGGTAACCGAATTACTACCTTACTACCCACCCTGTGATTTTGAAACCTTATCCCCTCCTACTTTTCTTGCTGTATCTTCACAGTTTCTCTCTCTCTCAATTTCCGCAGAACCTGTGACGAATCTTATGTGGTGATGTTTGATGCCTGTGTTGATGCCTGCTGCCGCAGGCATCCTTTATGTATTTAGATCGTCTCTCATTCTCTCACACACTCTCTCTGCTGTTGCGGCCAACCTGCAGAAGCAAACACGACTTTTCCGTATGTTAATTTGCCTTATTTGAATTACCGATACATTCCCTCCTGAACAACCCCCCGCCCCGCCCCTTCCCCCCTAAGACCAAATCCAAATTCCTTTTCAATATCCTCTCAACCACAAAGCCATTCTCAGAAAGCATCTCTCAGAGCCCCACCACAAGAACCGCCCTGTATGAAACCGCGCACAACCCACACCTTCCCGCCCGGCGCGAGGAACCACTGCATGGTGCGCGCGAGGTTCTTCTGCTGCGAGCGAAACTCTCCGCTACTATGATCTGGGTAAACGAGCCCTTGTATTGCTGTGTGAAGGAGTCGGTCAGTTCGCCCTTATGCGTGGGGGTGGGCGGAGATCTTGGTGCTTGGTGCTCGGTTGCAGAGGTTGTAGTCCATGTTGAACGCTATTGCGCCTGAGAGGGCGGGCGAGGGGCGGTCTGTTGCCACGACGGTGGATGCTTTGGCTAGGGCGCAGATTAGGGAGGGGAGAGCGGCGTCTACATTGTATCAAGTGTGAGCCTGACGATCAAGGATTCTGGAGGGATTTGTATACTAGTACGAAAGATAGTAGTAACTCATCAGCGCCCAGCTCAAGCACACTCTCACCCTTGACACTCTACGTCTCGTGAATCCTCTTTCCACGCATTCGTCTTAGGACTCATCTGAGTACTGGAATCGGCATCTTCCACACCTCGGCGACAACCATCGTCGCGCTGCAAAGCAGATGGGCGAATAACTTCCGCCCCACCTCCAACTTATTCAGCCCATCTGTCTTCTCCAACCCGGCTGCAGTCTCCTCGGTGCGCTTCTAGGCCTGGCCTGGGTAGGTTGGGACCATGATTTCGAGATCTCCATAGCGCGGGGACGAGTAGAGGTGCTGGGCGGTGCCGCTGTGGAAAAAGGGCGCGTCATCTGGAGGGAGATGTGGAAGGAAAGCGCCTTGCCTTCCAAGGCACGGTGGGTGGGAGTGTCGGCACACGTCCGCAGGGACGATCATCATTTTAGATCATCTCAATCGAAGCTGCACTTCATCCATTCTCATTCTCAGGTCACTTGTTTCTCTATAGAGCAGTGTCAAAGGAAAAGCGAGAAGAGTGACAGCCGGGAAAAGCTCAACCGAGTTGGCGACAATGATTCTGCACCCCGCAGGGAACCTGGTCTAGCGCCGAGTCTATCCCCTGTTCAGGGCTTTGTGCCACGACTCGATGGGTTCTAGCCAAACCATACGGCTTGCAGCTTAAACTGTGACAGATTCCCAGACCGCGTATCGAAGCAAAGACCCTAGATCAGTAGTACCATCACGAGCTAAGACTGAACCAGTCTTAAGTTCCTTTAAACGGTCAAGAGTTTTATCAATGACCTCGCCCATCCCACTCGCGTGGAAAAATTTCGCAAGTCGATAGTGATAGTCTAACAAGACCGGGTGTGGAAGACGGGACTCTGACTCAGGCTGGGATGCATCTACGAAAGTGACCTGGTGGGGGAGGAATGGGTTCATTTCGGTGGGGAAGCGCTTGAAGGTGACGAAGTTGTACGTATGCGGAGCGTTGGCCTAAGTCGATAATTAGTCCTAAACGAACCCTTCACTTTCCAGGGCTAGAACACAGACGCACGATCGGCTCGAAGGCACATCGGAAGCGACCGAATGCGCGGTGGATAGAATGGTGAAGCGTGAGGCCATTCTCGATCTCATTGATTCTGGAACTTCGCATGATTGTGCGTATCTCAGGGAAACATCGGTAGAGGGTTTCCCACATATTCGAGATGGTGCTTGCACCTTTCTGCTCTAATTAGTATGTAGTCTTCAACAAGAAGGCTCTAGGAAAAGTACCATGGGGTCGTAGCTTGCAAACGACCAGGGAATGATATGCGCAGCTTCGAGATCCCCCTGTAGAACATCCTCCGCCGACCCTGTTTCTTCCGCCTTGTCGAACGATATGGCTTTTGTCACCACACAACGATCTCTATCACGTTCGAGACAGCCCTTGCGGAAATCCGAATCTCGCACTTGCGGCTCCTCAATCACCTCATACACGGCTTGAGCATTCTCACGTCTTTTTTGATGCGGTGAGTCAACAGGGGCAGGTGTTTTTCCGCCAGACGCTTTAACTATGCGAGGTCAGTCACATATTCACGCCAAGTTTGCATGGACTTACTCGGTTGGAGGAGACAAGTGCGAATATTCTCATAGGTAGCCAGGAGCATCTCGTCAGATTCCGCATCGAGAATATCGTGCGCGATAGAGTTTCTTCCTCCTGGCGGAAGCCAGTCAAGCAGCCCCCCAAAGCAGTCTTGCAGCTTTTCGGATTCCTTTGTGACCTCGTATCGACTGAGTCGTTCATGCGTGCGAGCTTTAAGATCATTCCAGCCATCTTCGGTCTTCTCGACCTCAGTCTGAGCGAAGCTAGGCTCTGAACAAAATGTCCCTTGGGACGGAGAGATTCGACGCGGTTGGCGGGGGCGGGTTGAGGAGCGGGGCGGTGGGGGTGGAGATGATTCGTGCTTGCGCTTAGGCATTGTTAGGGGTTGCAGAGGACAAGGATGTAGTGTCAAGAGGTGTTCGAGGGATAGCAACACTGCAGTTAAGCCTTAAAGACTATTAAATGCGTTCGTGAAAAGAAGTCTTCTGCATTGGGCCGTTAGGGGCAAGAGCTGTCCCATTGGTCTCAGGAGGGCAAAGCGGTAAAAAAGAAAGCTTGGCAGTATGACATAAATAGCAAGCGGTGTACCCATATACTTAGAAGACGGGAGCAATGAGCAGCTTGGAGTCTGATTGCTTCTTTGTTTTCCCCCACATTCTCTGAGCCTTCTCTAACTAGTCCTCTTGTATTAATTTAATAAGCGAAACTCAACCCGTCATAGACAGAATTTATGGCACTTTGATCCTCCGTACGCAAAACGGTGGTTCACCCCTGATCTCAAATCTCAGCAAAAGGAGGTAAACTATACGCGACGCAAATGGCAAGAGAGCTGCGCAGAGATAAGGCGACTATTAGGCAACTAGATCACAGTAATCTTTCTAACGCGGGTTGAGCAGGAGAATTGTTCACCCGAGCCGGCATTGTCCCATTCCCTATTTTCCAAGCGGTATACAGAATATACGCCCGCCGGTAGACGATCGGTAGAAGGGCGCATAAAGCAATACAAGGGTATAATAAATATTATGACAACGCCAATCACACTCCATGTTCTATGAATACTTTTACCAGGATAAGTTTGGATGGTGGTAACATCGCCAATCTCGGTAGATGAGGGCACTGTGGGTCGGCTTACCATCATGTCAGTGTCCATGCCCATTCCTTGAAAGTATGAAAAACCTACTAGTATAGTGGATTCCGAGCCATGGCCGGCTCATCATTATCTTGAGTCAGGGAGGGGGTTTGTAATTCCACGGTGGGTGCCATGGCAGGCTCATCATCATTTTGAGTTGGTAAGGGAGTTTGGAATTCCATGGTTGGTGGACGGATGGTGAGTGGATGGATGAACGAAGGATTGATGAATGAAGGACGGATGAAGGAGGATTGGAGATAGGGGCGGAGGGTGGAATATAAAGAGAAGAAGGGAGAAGGAAGAGGGAAGGAAGGATGGAAGATGGCAAACAAAAAGGCTCAGAGTACAAAATGACTCTATGTCACATGCGAGGCTTTTGGGATATCTGTTTTCCCTTTCTAGCTACTCTTCTTCAACATCATAATCCATCACATTCATGCCTCATCGCAATCAGTATGGCATCCCTGTCACTTTTCAGACAAAGAGCTAACCATGAGGCATTCAGTCATGGCATTCGACGCTTCTACTGCCCCTCGACCCCTTCTGGGCAAAGATGGAGCAGAGCCTGGCTTCTGGGCTCATGCTGCATACGAGAACCCCTGGCCCCGAGGAAGCCGAAACAGCCATATGAGTGGCTCAGTACTTTATCAACTTCACCAAAACCGTTTGTATCGCGAGCCGGCTTTACGGCCATCAAAAGCCAAGTATGATGGAACACGCTTTTTAAAGGCAGTGGGGGACAAGACTGTGAATGTGGAGGCTCTGCTGGCACAGGCTACCGGTCCCCAGCTGAAACCTGGGGCAGAATGTCTGCCTTGCCAGAAACACAGAGGCCCTTTCGTCTCCTGTGTCGTTGTCCCGGGTATTTTCAGCGAATGTGCCAACTGCCATTGGTCACAGCAGTCCGATCGATGCAGCTTCAACACCAGCCCTCCCATGTCATTTGTCCCTCGACGGAAGGCTGAGCCCACAGTCATCCCCACTGGCTTTACAGATACGGATGGGGTGAGAACAAAATTGACGGGGAGCTTCGAGAGGCACGTCTTGCGCGAGGTAAGGCCATGGCACTTTGTTGAACGTCTCAACAGGCGGATTGATGAGATTCTGGAAGCAAAGGCCGCCCAGGCATCACGGCCTGCAGGTGGAGAGGACTAAGGGCCTGGAGGTCTTGGAAACTAGCATGTGAAATAGTGCTTGTATGAACTACATTTCTGACACAGGCTCGCCATCCAGTACACATACGTACTATTTTCTCTAAAGTTCGGTATCTAGGCCACGCTCTCCAGGAGGAATGGATTGGCAGACAATCAGAGTAAGCATAACAGTATTAAAACGCAGAAGAATGATAACACCCTGATGCGGTCCCATTACTCCGATCCCCGACACTCTAAGAGGCAGAGCTACTGTATCGGGGACGTTTGACGGCCCTCCGACGAGTGCTCGCCTTGCTTGTGCGTCCAGTGGTCATTGGTGACTGCGTAGACGCCGAGTGGATAATTTGGAGGAGGATGCGAACGATCTCCTCGTCCTGGCTGTCTTCCAGACCCCAGTGGAAGGTCCTCACGGACCACTTTCGAATGTCAGACCAATGAAACAACGGTTAACGTGAAGGTCACTTTCTTCTTACCTTGCTGTTCTTACTGATCTTGTAAAAGTGGAACTGTCTGCTGTCGGTCACAATCCCGTATACAGTGGTGTCTTTTTTTCCGCGCTCCTTTCGTCCGGAGTGCACGACACCTAGAAGCTGGTCAGCAATGCCTTTGGCGTGGTGCAATAGACTTACCCATATAGGCAAGGACTTGTTTCTGCCCTTTGCCAATTTCGTCCGAGGTCTTCGTCTCTACAATCACCAGGTTGGTCTCCAGATCCTCATGCTCCCCATACCATAGCGTATAGTCGGGGCGGCCATTCAGCCTGTGCTTGAGCTTCATTCGGCCGAGTCGGGTAATATGCGAGAATGAGGCCTCGTAGCTCCATCTCACCGGATGTGCCACCGCAATACCGACTTCTATGGCGAAGCCAAGAACAGCGCTGAACAGAGGGCTAAGCCAAGCGCGTACCCATGCCTCGGTCTCTCGGGACCCAGCTTGGCAATTGTGCTGGTAGCGCATTGCTCGCGCTATGAGAACAAATTAGTACAGGGCTAATGTTAGGAGGACAGGGAACTCACAGAGGTAGCGCATAAATTCAGGAAATACGTCCTGGTTGTTTAGAGCTGCGGTATCGAACGGGGGTATGTCCCAGGAATCTCCCGCCTTTAGGTTCTTCTGGGTCACCTGGGTGAGCCTAAAAATTGACTCAACCTCTTGCGAGGTCAAGTCCTTCGTTGGGAGGTTATTGTCCCTCCTAGCTCTCGTCGTGATGTCGTTAAGTTCGGTCTTCATCTCGTCAACCTCGGACCTCCCAAGGTTTGTAGCCCTTGAAAGCCATCGAATGGCCGCTTCTGCGCCATTCTTGACCTGTATCCAAGCGAGGTCGTCGGAAGTTGCTTTCTTCTTCGGCACCACCTTCGTTTTCCTAAGGGAGAACTTGAGAGGCATTATGAAAAGATTAGGGGTGTTAATGAGGATGATTGTGAGGTACTCTTGTGTAGGGTAGGGGGAAAGAGGACAGAAATGGTGGGAAACAGTGGTGAACAGTGGTATAGTTTGTGTTGGCCTGAGGCATCACATAAAACTTTCCCGTTGCGTCATTCCGCGCCGAATCTCGTTTGACAACATATCTGTGGACGACGCAGAACAATGAAATATGCAATTCTTACGCAGAATGCACTCAAACGGGCTTCAATAGATTATTACTTATGCGGCCAGACTGTATGTCACTCTACCAACAGGTGGTATCACGTGTCTCCTTGCAGACCCAGACCAAGTCTCGAACCGCGACTAGAGGACCTAGGGAAAGTAATTGTCGACGAGTACTCAATCGTCCGTGATAAATATAGTCCGTTATTTTTGGTTCGAATAGTGTGAATAATTGCTGACTCGTCATCAGCTGCACCAAAATACCCTGTCGTTCTCGCCCATGGCTTGCTCGGGTTTGATGAACTGCACCTTGCTGGCCCATATCTCCCCGGTGTTCAGTACTGGCGTGGAATCAAAGAGGCCTTGACGGCGCGGGGTATCGAAGTTATCACGGCGTCAGTGCCCCCGTCAGGCTCTATTGAGGAACGGGGTGAACAATTGGCCCGAAGCATTGAGGCTGGGGCTCCAGGGAAGGATGTTAATATCATTGCGTATGTTCCCTCCATTTCCTGGTTAGAGATATCGACATATTCTGACCCTAGTTTTTGTACAGACATAGCATGGTGAGACCCCTCAATCATTGCGACAGAGTTAATGCTTATCTGTGATTAGGGGTGAGCAATAAGATCATACTATACAGCACAAGCTAATTAATGGGCTGCAAAGTGGTCTTGATGCACGATATATGATTACTCACGTACGACCGGAGAAGTTCAAAGTCTTGTCACTGACCACTATCGCGTCTCCGCATCGAGGTGTGGCGCATCATAGCTTCTCATTTGCCTTTCTGCTAACTGTCTAGCAGGCTCATCTGTGGCGGACTACGTATTTGATCAAATTGGAGGTTCGTGACTATTCACCCGCTTTCTGAGATAACTCTGAAGATAACATCTAATTCTGTGTAGCCGATCGCCTACCCCAAATCTATTATGCCCTTAATCGATTAAATGTCGAGACAGGTGCATTCGCTCAGCTAACAAGAAAATACATGACCGGGACTTTCAATCCTAATACCCCAGATATGGATGATGTCAGGTAAGTGCCATGCATTTCCCCCCCTATACGCACTGCTGACATTCCCCAGATATTTCTCCTATGGAGCAGCAATGGAGCCAAGTATATGGTCCCCCTTTCGGCTTTCACACCGAGTACTTGCGGATATTGAGGGACCCAATGATGGCCTAGTTAGCGTGTCTAGTAGCCGCTGGGGAGGCGATGCAGGATACAAAGGAACCCTTATGGGCGTGAGCCATCTGGACCTGATCAACTGGACCAACCGGCTTAAGTGGCTAGTCGGGGAAGTAACGGGCAACAAACGAAAGTTAGTTGATTACAATTACAAGAAGTATTTTGGGAATTATGCTGATCTTTATGCAGGTTCAACGCCATTGCATTTTACTTGGACATCGCAGGTATGTGTTACGGTTTGATTGGGTTAACTGAGACTGATAAGCTGATTGTTAATTAGACATGTTGGCAAAAGAGGGACTTTGAGAAAGTGCCCGATATAATTCATGTGGGTTCCCCCTTAGCGGTGTTATGGCTGTTTCGGATTTGATATGGAAATTCTGGTGCCTGGAGACTCCTGGAGACTCCTGGAAGTCCCTGGTATGTTCTCATTCTCGCCTACTTTGTATGTATGGACATATTTTTGTACAGTGGAATCAGCATAATAGATCCGTCAATTAGCAACAGACAGTTAAAATAATATATTTACTCAAGGATGCAGGCAAAGAAGGGTCATACTATGTACTACAGATCCAACGGATTTATAGTTTCCGGGTACTAGCGGAATGAGCCCTTTGTCTCGAAAAGTGTGGCTGTGATTGAGGCGCAGCATATATGCCTAATCCAACCTTCTAGCCTTTAGCTATTCCTGCAACAGTTCTTGGTCAGGGCGAGACCGCGGCAGTTGTCTGTTGCTTGGCAATCAGTTGATCTGCGAACGCTCAAAACGTCATTGCGGGAACCTTCGCATATAATCCGCACTCGCCCCCATCTCGCAGCCCCACGACATTTCTTCAAGCTGTTCATTATTTGCATATTTCGAGAGCTTGATAATTGTCGCATTATTTTCCACGACCGCACCCCCCTATTTGATCCTTCGAACGCCGCCACCAACCGAAGATAGAGCCCCGCCAGGGCCCACGCGCCCGCCGCCATGACCGCAAATATCGTATTGGACAGCCACCACACGCATTATACAAATTTGGACTTCCTCAGAGGCAAGGTTGTACTACAGCTACCGACCGAAGCAGCCATCGGAGCCATTCACGTCAAATTGGAGTGCGAGAGCCGCACTCGTCTATCCGGTCCCAAGCACCCCCAACATGTGCACTCAGACAAAAAGCGAACGGAGCTTGAGGTTCACAAGGTGAGAGGATATGGTTTATCACACCTATCAGTGGGATAAAATATTGACTGGAGCATTGGTTAATCAACGAATGTAGATCCTGTACAAGGTTGCCACTGTTTTCCCGACACCAGGTGTCATGCAGAATGGGTCCCCTGCGCCTGCATATACATTTGCTGCAGGGTCATATGAGTACCCTTTCGAATTCAAAGTAAAGAGTCTATTCTATGGCAATCAGAACACAGTTAACGCCCTACCAGTTCCCTTTCAATAATTCATGCAGCACGACCAACAGCATGCTCACCAATCTAAACTTTTCCGGGTTGAAAGTCGAGGTAGCTAAAGACACCAATCGACACGTCAGGAAGACTCTCCCGCCATCTTTAAGCGGGTTCCCAGGTGTAGCAGATATCAAATACTTCGTCAAGGCCACAGTCATTCGGCCGCAGTTCTACAAAGAGAACATCAGATCGGTAAGTAGTGATATGCTCCGATACCTATGCTATTGTCGCACTCGCTAATTGGTTTCGCAGATTGTGCCTCTGAATTTCCTTCCAATTGAGCCACCAAGAGTCGGGAATCCCAATGAGGAAACCTACGCCAGGCGGCAACATCAATTCTCCAAAACCCAGGGCGCGTCTAAGAAAAAGAGCATATTCTCACGGGGGTCTTCTTCACTCCGAGAGACGTACCCAGAGCCTCCTCGGGTGTCTGTGGATGCTCGACTTCCGAACCCGTCTATTCTCACTTGCAACGAACCTGTCCCCCTCCGTCTCCTCGTTAAGAAGCTGACCAAGGGACCGGACGTAATCTTTCTTCAAATGTTGCAGGTGGAACTAATATCCTACACGAAAATTTTGGCCCAAGACCTCACTCGCACTGAAAGCAGCTCGTGGGTTATCATGAGCCGCAGCAATATGAATATCCCGTTAGGCAACCCGGAGGACTCCGTAGGCACTGATTGGACTATTGATTCAAACTTATGGAATCGGTATCCCTTACCTAACTCGGTGGCACCGTCCTTTGAGACATGTAACATTGAAAGATCTTATGAGCTGGAAATTCGAGTGGGCTTGACTCATGGAATGCAGGTATGTTGAACCATTAACCACTAGAGTTGTCTCTTGGCTGACCATGGCATAGCCTCAACTGATTGTTCTGCCCCTGCGAATGCCAGTCAAAGTATTCTCAGGAATCGCTCCACCACAGGCCCTCCTAGATGCGATGGCCGCTGCATCGCTTCATCCATCTTCCTCTAGACTGAAACCCCAGCCCAGCTTGCCAGGAGAGGTAGGAAGCAGTCGACCAGTCATGCCACCACGACCAACCGGTGAACCTGTACCTGTCAATTCCGGAGATGCATACGACGACGCACCACCCAGTTACGAGGATGCCATGGGAGACCACCTGAGTCCAGTGGATGGACCACGTCGCGAGTATCACCCACCAGACGCCTCATCACAAAGCACAGTAGAATCTGGAGCTGATGCCAAGTCCATAGCCCAACCGGGTAAGGCGCTTGAGGATGGACCCGCTGCGGAAGGATCCTCGGCGCCTCGTCGAGGCAATCGTGCTTCCTCGGAGTCCTTCGACATGCTACCTACCACACCACCGGAATCTCAATCTGGATCGCCTCCCATATCCCCCGTGCGACGCCCAGCGAGCATGATGAAAATTTCTCAGAACACCGTTGATGAAGAAAGTCCGCCGCAATATGAGCCTGTCGCGGGGAATCACCTGAACGCTCCCCAAGCTGTGCAACGCCAGCCTTCACGGAATAATCTTCGTCCTATGAACTTGGGCGTTCCCAATCGGAAGCCTGTGCCGCGAAGTCCAAATCCTTGAGGTTATGGACTCAACTGTTTCACTAATTTGGTCATATTCTCCCCTCTTTCACGCTTAGTGTCCGGGTTTGAAATTAATTGGAGCTTCATGGCACTTTGCCTGTGATTATTCCAGCACTCATAGCATTACCCATCAAAGAAACTGCATTATTGCTACCTTCGAACTCGATACCCCATCACGTTTGTGTCTTGAAAAGTTTTTCAGGTTATGTTCTTGTTCTTGAAATGCATCATAGCGTTGTGTCTAAGGGATCTATAATACTAGTACTGGTGTAGCGCCTGTTGAATATGATAGTTTATTTACTTCCACTTCCGAATAATGAGCCAAATACCGTCCGATATCATCGTGGCGCGCATCGTGGCGCGCAGGTCAGTATGGAAATAAGTTCAGATGTGCGCTATACCGAAAACGGCTAGCGCACCCTCCACGCGGATTGAGCTTTCCTCTTCCACTTGAGCATATGTCCAATCCTATGGGCATCTGTCCTCAAATTGAATCTTAATCGAAATCCGCTAGACCAGCTCGGACTAACTGGATTAGCCCCCCGACCGAAACATTACCCTCGAGTATTCGACTCGGAACCTCCTAGCAACACGAAAAAGTACATTCACCGCGTCAATGATTTAGCTCGCGACTGACCATCCACGATGCGTCTCCACCTTGTTATCTCGCGCCATGGCCTGCCGGTCACGCGCATTCTCTGGACGACGACTTCGTCTACTTCTGTGTTAGGCGAATATGGGACTCAACGCCCGGCATCAACCGCAGCTGTCGCGTCCTCTCGCACCCCGAACATCGCCTTCTCGAATGGCGGGTACACGGTCGCACAACTCCTCGAGGATGTGAACGAAGTTGTGCCGCTGGAAACTGAACCTAGTATCTTTGATACGGAGTTCAGTGGCCAGTGGGGATTGGAAGATTATGTTGTCGAGGTTGCCGGCTCGGAATGTCTCCATTTTATGGAGGTTGACGGCTTGCTCCGTGACGGAGACGAAGTTGTGTATGTACATCTAACAAATGTTCTTATATCGTAAACTGGACTAATTTCTCGCCTTCTAGCATCCGCGCCCTTCAATTGGCAGACCTACGGACCAGAAGGCTATGTGGTCGCCACCAAATTACCGCGGAGGGCAAGCATCTGATCGACGGCGTGCCTTTCGGGTCACCGTTCTTGAAAAGAACTACCTCTACACGACCTGCAATAACTATTCCCCCAAGAAAGAAGCGGCGCACCGTTTTCTCCGGCTGGGACCACGCTCCAGAATTGGTGGCTGAGGAAGTCCATGCTGACGAGGAAGGGGATGGAGAGTGGCTTCCGCATCCAAACACCGGGTTCGGAAAGGAGCTCTCTGTCATGCCCGCCGAGCACGAAGAGTCCCTAGGCACGGTTATTCGTCACCCTGTTGACCATGCCACGGAATCTGACAGTGAAGTGGATATGTCTGAGATGCCTGAGGTTGAGGAAGATGAACTGGAGAGCGAACTCCAAGCACTCAAAGAGGACTTCGACGAAGCTTCTCAATTTATTGATATCAGGAACCAGACTCGGAATGCCAGTGGGCACCCACTACGTGCTACCTCGATAGTCAAGCGACCAACTTCCAAGGGGTCACTTGCAGCTGCCTCATCTCTTTCCAGCAAGCGGTCTCGTGCGGAAGACCCATCTCCTAGAGCCTCCAAGGCTGTGAGATTCAACAAGGGAGATAAGCAGGAGGATAAGGAAATGCCTGATCTCCCACAACTTCCGCAGGCCGTACACGTACAGATCGAGGAAAGTGCTGCTGCAACCTCTGATTCTGGTTCATCCGAGTCATCCATGTCTTCTTCGGGCAGCGATTCTGACGATGATTCTGATGATGATTCCGATAATGATTCCGATGATGATTCTGATGATGTTGATTCTTCGAGCGAGGTCGAGCCTGCGGCAGAGGCACCTTCTGATTCTCATTCATCCTCAAGCTCCGATGATTCTGATTCATCAGACTCAGATTCCGAAGAGGAAGCCGCCCCTTCTATCCCGGTTTCTGTGGGCGCTCCTGGTGGAGGGTCACTACGCACTAAAAAAAACAACCAGCGCATCAAACTACGCCGCCGTCTATCCAAGCTCAAGGAGCTAGGTGCTCTTCCTGAAAAAGCAGGTTTCGATGCATTGCGAGCTTGGGAAGACAGCCACGGAGGCTGGCATACTCCGGAACAATATCTTAACCCGGAGCCATTCGTGCAACCCCCAAAACCTGTGGAACCGGAACTAGAACCAGAACCAGAACCTGCCGAATCTTCGAAAAAGAAGCAAAAAAGAGAGAAGAAAGACCAGGAGCAAAAAGAGTTCGAAGCCAGGCGCCAAAAATTGCTTAACGATCTTGCATTGGGTAATGGTGTCGATGTGAGCGAAATATCGGAAAAGGAAAATGTCCCACCGGCTGCGTCTGCCGTTGGAGACACCCCTGTTTCAGAAGAAATCTCCGGTAAGGAAGAGCCGGAGCAGGAACCTTCGAACCGACGTACACTGGACATAGCTAGCTCACGACGCATGCTGTTCGGATCTCTTGGAATGCGAACCCCGAAGACCAAGGAAGACGAAGAAGAAACACGGAGAAAGCTTGCTGCCAAAGCTAGTGCATGCGGTCCCCGAAACAAACCCTCTAAGCAAGACATCGGAGAAGAGGCCGACCAGATGCAAGAGGAGGAAGATGCATCCGACATTGATTGGCAAAACAAGCTTGTCATTCGTGCTGTCGAGTGTCTCTATCCCCAGGTTGATATGACCGCGCCTCCTTATCCATTTGTTCAACGTTGGGATAAAGAAGCCAATGCCTTGATTCGTGAGCTCAAAGGGCCCAGTAAGAAGCGGAAGAGAAAGCAGCGTGTTCAAGTCTATGAGGGACATGAGCAAGAAGAATACGATGAAAACGGGTATTATTACGGCCATGATGACAAATATCAAGCTAATGACCAACCGAATAACGGTTATTACGAAGGTGAAGCCGATTCCCATTATGAGGGCCAATGGGAAGGCGAAGCTGCTCCTTACTATGAAGGCCATTATGCAGGCGAAGCTGAAGGAGATCAGATCGATTATGACGATGCTCCTGAGCCTGGACAAGCACCCAACCCCACTTTGGATGACCTACCTGCGATTCCTGCCGACATGAGTTCTGTTCCTGGTTTGACAGAAAGTGAAGCAAAGGTCGGCGCAATCATTGCATTCCGGCAGCTAGACATGTCCAAAGCCACGAACTGGCAACCTCAAATGTCTGAGTACCGAGTAGCCGAGGTACGCTCTATTAAAGACCATGGGGTGATTAATGTACTACTGGCCAAGCGGGACCGAAAGCCCCACTCAGCATCCAGCGAGTATGACGAGCCCCGTCGATTCAGCAAATTTGAAGTACCAGACTTAGCCAACGATGAGGGAGAGGATGATGGCTATCGCGAGCTTGCCTTTGCGGAACTCAGCGATCCGAAGCTTATCCAACCCGCAGCGCAGTCAGGTGCGGAATTTGAAGGCCAGAACAGAGAAGGTAGCATGTCAGTGAAATAAACTCTGATTGAAGGCTTATGCTTACATATCTAAAGTGTCTCTGTAGTTCATGAATCCGTACTGAACGCCCAGCCAACCCTTTCCGAGGAAATGTATATTGACGACACAACCATTGTCACCATCGGAAATGAAGTCAGCCATATTGAGTCGCCTCGTGAATCCCCGGGAATGCCCGATGAACCTATCCAACAAACCCCAGGCAGAGACCTGCCGCAGATTCAAGTCCAGAGTGGATCGATTCAGCGCAGTGTCACTCCTCCCATCCCTTCACCTTCTTTTACTGGATTTCACTCTGCTCGATCCTGGCAGCAGATGACCCCTGGTGTAGAGTTCAGCCGGGAGCTTGAAGGCCATACTCTCATCGGAGGAGACACGCCATCTGCTCTAGTCAATCGGGACGAAGATCCTTCCGCCTTGTCATACGCTTCTGCAAATCAATCCTTCGCGGATGAAACCGAGGACCAGGAAATGTCGGAGCATCAAGAGCATGAGCGCCAGATTGTCAGTGAAAATATTTTACCGCCTGGCGATTCGGGGGACAGCGGTCCTCAGTCTGGCTCACTTCTGTCTACCATTGACCGTAGCGGTGGTAATGGTGGTCAGGGTGGTAATAGTAGTGATGATGATGCGTCGGATTCCGATTCTCTGTTTGTGAAAAGCGATACGAAGAGAGAAAAACATAGTGTGGCTCCCACCAGCTCTTCTGAATCATGGAAAGATCTTTTGAACAGATTAAGGAATGGTCCACCAGACCCAGACAGCAACAACAGCAGCAACAGCGAAGCCAACAGCGAAGCCAACAGCGAAGCCAACAGCGAAGCCAACAGCGAAGCCAACAGCGAAGCCAACAGCGAAGCCAACAGCGAAGCCAACAGCGAAGCCAACAACAGCGAAGCCAACAACAGCGAAGCCAACAACAGCGAAGCCAACAACAGCGAAGCCAACAACAGCGAAGCCAACAATAGCGAAGACAACAACAGCGAAGTTAGCGAAGGCAATCAAAGTCCCGAGCGGCTGGAAGATAGTCTGCAGCACTCCTACCTGGATCTCAATTTCTCATCGCTCGATTTCCCACGGCCATCCAACTCACACTCTCCCAACCCGCCAACGAGTGCCCAACCGGACGCGCAGTCTCAAAAACAAACCTCAATCCTTTCGCCATTTGAGACGAAGCCCGCCGCAACTACTCGCTCCATACTCTCCCAGCGGGTGCATGAACCCGAATCCGCCTCCCAAATTCTCTCCTCCCAGGCATCCGAAGTGATTGACCTCACTTCCAGCCCACGTGAATCACCCAAACCCAGCAGCTCCGATCCGAACCCATCCCAGCGCTCCAAATCTGCAGTGTATGGGAAATCACAACGTAGCAAGGACATCCCTCGCTCATCTGGACGTCCACCCCGAGCTTCTACGGGGAGACTCCAACACATGGTGGAAGTGAGTATTAGTCCTTCCAGCCAGAAGAAGAAGCGCTCGGCACGAAAGTTCTGAGATACGGCTGGATTATGTGTCATTGAAAGTTGAAGAGATATTGGATGTACTTTCATTTTACACGTCTGTATATTTACGGGCGCAGAGCGATGGCGTCTAGGAACTTGCACATTCTTTCTTTTTTTTTTTCCTGGACATTATTTTATTTCGGCTCCAATACAAGATATTATTCTGAAGGTCCTTGCAGATCATGACAAAACCCTGCCAGTGATTGGTTGGATTCATGGATAAGGTGATGTCATGGTAGTTGTATACTTCAAGCTCTAGAGGTATTGTACATATCCCACATCTTCGAAGCCTTGCAGTCAATCAATTGAACTAACCAAGGAACTGGCCTAGGAAAGCAGGTTCTTCTTTCATCTTCCCTTTTTCCCTGCCCCTAACCATGTACCGTCTAAGTACGTGGCCATCTATGCAACTATCCCGGCGGTGTAACTTTCTACTCTCGTCATTACGCCATATTTCCTCACCCCGCATATCCAGCTTATCCTGGACCTCTTCTGCTGCTGCTTCTTCTTCCTCTTCTATCCCTTCAATATCTACCAAGTCGTCCCAATTTAAGCCAATTCAATCCAAACGCAATCTATCCACAATGCCCCAGGAATACAAACTAAAGGACATCTCCTCCTTCGCATCCCTCAACTCTCTAGACAAGGTCGAGGTTGAAATCGAAGGCATTGAGGATGGGAAGGTTCTCCTCGTGAAGCTGAACGATAAAGTCTATGCCCTTAGTCCACGGTGCACGCATTACGGAGCACCACTGAAGAATGGCGTTGTCACTGCAGAAGGGAGGATTACATGTCCCTGGCATGGAGGTGAGATGCTTGTTTGAGTTTCTTTTGGTTAGGGGAAAGAAAAGAACAAAATACTAACTACTATATCTACAGCCTGCTACAATGTCGCAACTGGCGATGTTGAAGATGCTCCAGCTCCCAACGCGCTGAACAAATTCGAGGTCTTCGAAAGAGCAGGCGGCGTCTACATCCTTGCCAAAGAAGAAGATGTCAAAGCAGGACAGCGCAATCCAGTTGTGAAATGCACTGTGTCACAGCCAAAGGAGAAGGTTGTTGTGATTGGAGGGTAAGTCACCCTTTTTTCCTTCATCACTATGCACATGTTTCTACATTTCCTCTCGTTCGAATAATTGGATACCCATACTAACAACAAACAGAGGAAGTGGAACTCTTGGCCTTATCCAAGCTCTCCGCGAGCTAAAATACCCCGGGGCGATCACAATCATCTCCAAAGAGCCCGATCTGATCATAGATCGAACCAAGCTATCCAAAGCCCTAATCACGGACGCAGCCAAAATCCAATGGCGACCACGAGAGTGGTATGCTGAAGCCGCCATAGAAACTATCACAGATGAAGTGACTGCCGTGGACTTCGAACAGAAATCCATCTCCACCAAATCCGGCCAAAACATCCCCTACACCAAACTAGTCCTAGCATCAGGCGGCACCCCACGCAGACTCCCGCTACAAGGCTTCAAAGGCGAGCTCAAGAACGTCTTCACCCTTCGCACCATCCAAGATGTCCGATCAATCCTCGCAGCAGCCGGCGAAGAGAGAAGAAACATCGTGGTAATCGGCAGCTCCTTCATCGGCATGGAAGTCGGCAACGCGCTCTCAAAATCCCACAATGTGACAATAGTAGGCATGGAAACCTCGCCAATGGAGCGTGTAATGGGCGCACAAGTCGGCCGCATCTTCCAATCAAACCTAGAAAAAGCCGGCATCAAATTCCACCTCTCAGCGAACGTGAGCCATGCTACAGCCTCCTCCTCAGATCCGCACACCGTCGGTACTGTCCATCTAAAGAACGGAACAAGCCTCCCAGCCGACCTTGTCATTCAAGGCGTGGGCGTCCGCCCAGCGACAGACTTCCTTCACGACAACAAATCCATAACCCTTGAGAAAGACGGCTCCGTCAAAACAACCCCCCACTTCGTCGTGCCGGGCTTGCAAGACTCCGTCTTCGCCGTCGGCGATATAGCAACATACCCCTACCACGGTCCCGGCGCTGACCCTGCCGGCTCGCCAGTCCGCATCGAGCACTGGGACGTCGCGCAGAACGCGGGCCGTGCTGCTGCACGAGCAATCGTGCATGCGCTGTGTGGTCCGCTGTCGTCCCTGAAACATAAGGTGTTTATTCCGGTGTTTTGGTCCGCGCTTGGGGCGCAGTTGCGGTACTGTGGAAATCCCATTAACGGGTATGACGATGTTATTTTGCAGGAGAAGGGGGAGGCGAAATTCGTTGCGTTCTATACGGCTGGAGAGACCGTTGTGGCGGTTGCCACTATGGGAGTTGATCCGGTTATGGTTAAGTCTGCAGAGCTGATGAGAGTCGGGAAGATGCCGAGCAAGGGAGATATTGCTGGTGGTACGGATGTTTTGAGTCTTAAGGTTTAGCTAGGATATGATGGGATTTGAAGTTTGGATCTTAATGGATATGTCGGGAAATAGTTTGGAATCAAGTGTTTTCTTTGGTCAATTGGCATATACACATTCGAAACAAATCGGAAAATAAGAACAAGCAAACCGGAACGCCCATCCAGGATGTAGTCAACATTGATGTATGATATCGGTGCTCATGGAGACATGTACACAGAGCGAATTTATTCGTCCTTGCTCTTCTTCGACTTGGAAGTGGACTTCTTCTCCTTCTTTTCCTTCTTCTCCTTCACTTTCTTCTCCTTCTTTTCTTTCTTTTCCTTCTTAGGGCTAGGCTCCAGATGCACATCCACAGTCGACAGCTCTTGCACTGCCGACGCCGCCGGGACGTCCATCACGGGAATAGACCCAGAGAGCTTCTTCGGCGATGGGAAGAACGACGGAGGCAAGGACTGTCCCTGGCGCTCAGACTCAGAGAGTCTCTCCTCCTCCTCAACAGAAAGCATAGTCCCCTCAATACTAAGGAACCCGCGATCGCGCTCCGAACCAGGAATGACATCCACATCAACAACACGGAAGCGCACAGAGCCAGTTACGCGGTGTCCAGAAACAGACTGGAAGTAACCGGTGTGAGCAGACGCATCCTCCTCGCCCTCGATCGCGATCTCCTCAGCCGAAAGCGAAGCAGGCTTGAAACATTCCTTCTCGGCGTCGAAGTCGGCCATATCCCCATCAGAGGCCGAGTCGTCATCGGTCAAAGCCGGCGTCTCGGCCTCCTCGCCAGGCGGCACCCACTTCCAGTTCGAAGGCAGACGCTTGCGCTCAACGCCGACAGAGAACAAGTTGAACACGACAGCGCCGAGGAATCCCTCCGACTGCACATTCACCCATCCATCGAGAGTCTGGCCGCGCTTTGGCCGGAACATTAGGAACGTAGCGGTCAGGTAGACGTACAAGACACCGTACTCGTCCGCGGATTTGGCGAGGGTGAGCGGCTCCGGGTTCGGATCCGAGAAAGAGCTTGTATTGGCCGGCGGATTGCTGGAAATCGAGGCATGGGAGTACGCCAGGACGATGCCCTTCAGCGGTGGGAAGTAGGTTAGGAGCAGTGGCGAGAGATGCTCGGCCAGCAGCGAGGCCAGCGCGTGCGTTGGCGAGATGGAGATGGGCGACAGGGGCAGGTAGAGGGTTGCTGTTGTGAGAGTGAAGGGGGACTCGGGATCGGAGTCTTGGACATGTTGTGGAGCGGCGGCTTTTGAGGATGGGGTTTGCTTTCGCTTTTTGGATGGTGATGTGGATGCAGATGCGTCCTTGTTTTTGGATTTGCGCTTGCGCTCTGCGTCCGCTGTGCGCAGCGGCATGTTGTCGATTTCCATTTCGTCAATTGCCATCGTGGAGGCAATTTGGGCGCTCCACGGAGCTTGTCGTGTCAATGTGGAGGGATTAGAGTGCTTCTTTTTTTTTTCTTTTTGGCGTCGAGAACTTTTTTTTTCATTTGGCTTTTGGTATGACGAGATGGGAAGGCGGTGGGACTGGGCGGTGACGGCACATTAAATGGCCCCCGGACTATTTTGGGGTTGGTTACAATCGCCAAGTGGCGCTTAGTATCTATTCTATCAATATTTTTCTTATTTTTGTTTGATATGGTGCAGGTGAGGTTATTCAGGTGAAATTGATTCCCTCGTGATGTCGTCACTTCTGCCTTTCTTCGGGTGGGCTGTTCTCCCCAATGTGAGTGGAGCGCGATGCGGAGCTATACAACACGTGGAATAGGAGCTAATATGAATGACAGTATGCTACATCGTTTCTACAGAGTGTCTACTATGGCATCACCATACGCGCCGGTGAACCCAAGCCACTCCCGCAAACTCCGCGGTTCGAACGTCATCGTCGCCGTATCTTCATCTTCGTGATCACCAGCTACCTCCTCTACACGCTCTACGAGACATTCTACCAGGTGCAGCTTGCAGGTGATTACTATCAAGCCCTCGGGGTATCGCCATTTGCCGATGAACGCGCAATCAAGACCCGATTTCGCCGGCTCGCTGCTCAGTATCACCCCGATAAAGTCGGGCTGGACAGCGGGTCCGATGCTTACTTCCTGTACCTTCGACGCGCGCAGGAAACATTGGTGGACCCGGTGAAGCGATTCGCGTATGACCGGTTTGGAACAGACATGCTTGGATGGGGGGAGCAGAAGACCATGCGCGACTTCTTGATGACCTCGCTGGTCAAGTCGATCATCCCGCAATATGTCGTCGGGTTTATCACAACGCTTGTGCTGAACTGGCTGTGGTGGGCGAATTGGGGCCGTTACGTGAGTATACCATATTACCAGCAGATGTTCAATTCCATTCGCTGACTGTTGTTAGTGGCGCTTCTACACGTTCGCCGCAATGCTGACCCTCGAACTCGGCTTGATTACGCACCCCAAGGCTGTGTTCATGCCTACCTCATACCTTCCCGTCGCGCTACAAGCATGGCTCCCTAGACAATCGTTCTACCTCCTCCCCTTCCAGATCCTGACGCTAGCACGCCGCGCCTCCATCATGCTACACATTTTCATCTCGCAGGCCGCACCACCCACCGCCAAAATGGCCGGGAATGGCAACGGCGATAAGATATCACCGCAGACTGTGCAGCGGATCGGAGAGTTGATCCAGTTGACGCGCGGCACGGATATGGAGGCGACGCGGGCGCTGCAGATGGGCCTCGCACCTTTCCGTGGTGATCGTGAAAATGTGTCGAGGCTCCGGCGGGGTATGAAGGAAGGGCTGATCCTCGGCGGGGTGCGGTCCAGTCCTGAGGTGCAACGTGCCGTGGCACAAGTGGTTGAACGACGCAAGGCCGAGGGTGACAGTAAGCGCGATTGATGGTTGAAAGAGGTTAGATGTATATTACATATAAGCTATTGTATTCCCATTGTAATCCGACCCGATTCTGAATTTTTGTCATTTATCTGGACGATCTCTTGGCGGTGTCGCGTAATTTGGCCATTCTTTTGGTTCCGTGGACTAATTAGCGAAGTTCACGTTTCCCTGGCACGTAGAGCCGTAGAGCCGTGGTGGCTTGAGAAGACTCTCGTGATACCCTCACCAGATCTGTTGAGAATGGGTCCCTCTGGACTGGATCTCCAATAGATGTGAGTTATCTGAGTGAACGACGAAAAAGACGCATCTCTCGAGACATCATGCGGTCAGTGAGTTATTTTTTCTCCGGGATGCAGCGGGTGTGAAATGAGATCAACGGATTAGGGTTGGGTTTGTGTATGGAGATATGGAATGTCGAGTTTCTAGCCCTGTACGAGAGGGCAATAGCCGGACGGAGAGAAGACGCAGATATCATAGACAAATCCAATACAAATACAAATATAAGAAGAGACCAAAAGACGAACAAAAGAAACGAAGCTGTATATCGGTATCGTACGGTACTGTCACCCCCTCGTATCACGCCCTCCCCGTTGGTCCCGAAGTGGCTGGACGCAAGTTGTAATGACAGTACCAGGCCCGATGTCCACACCTTCAACACCATCCCCTGTGCTTCATGGCCTGAATGAGTTTTTTTTTTCTTAAACGATGAAGAGGGCCCACGATCCCTTTTTACTTCGCCCCTTCCTTGTCCTTCTTCCCTTTCCCCTTCCCCCTTCCCCCTCCCATCCCTCTTTCTCACAGACTATGCGACTACACATACTTCTTCATCTATAACGGGCGGTAGAGACACATACCACGTCACGGTGAATTGCCTTCCGTCAATTATTCCCCTTCCATATCCGGTACCGCGCAAATCCCGTTTCCAACACCCATCCATCATGCCCGCCGCTACTCCAAATGGTCGCTCACGCGGAGCCAAGAATTCACCCAACTCCTTGATGGTGGTTCTCAAGCTATCTGGGGATGCCCTCCAGCAGTTCGCCAGTCCCAGCAAGAGCCAAAATAATACTCCCAACATTAAATCCAACGACAACTCTTCACCAGCCTCCTCCGCCGAGCTCCCTACTGTCCGCCCATCTTCTGCCGATAATGGCTCCGACGCCGACGCCAATTCTACGCCCGCCACAGGGGCGACTGCAGGCGATGCACAACGTCGGAAGGGAGTTCCGGGTCCTAAGCCAGGAAACAAAAGAACAAAAGACCAAACCGACCCTACCGCAAAGTCACGGGGACGCCCTGGCCCCAAGAAGAAACCCAGACTGTAAGCCAACCCGACACATTTTCGAATGAGCATAATTCCAGAAAAGAAAATAGTCGAACTAACATATCATCGATCTTAGTGACGAAGGCGAAGCCACAAAGATTCCAGCTGCACAGCGTCTGGGACCAAAAGCCAATACGGGAGCCATCAACGCCGGTCTGCGCGCGCTAGATCGCACCGGAGCCGCGTGTCGCAAATGGGAGCGCAAGCCCCTACAGCTCCGCAGCTTCACCGGCATTTTGTGGCAACTTCCATCCTGGCGCACACCGGGTATGCCCAAGTCCGGTGACGCGGTTAATGGCAAGGTTGCAGCGCTGGAAAGTGGCGACAGCGACACAAAGACCACGCTTCATGCCCCCGGCACCGACACGGCCAATGGCAGCAGTGCTGTGCCTAGTGAGAAGAGCAACTCTGGGGATGGCGATGTCACCCCTACTTCTCATCTAGTCGAGCCCTCCTCGCCAGCCATTGCTATGACAGCTTGAATACGACCGTGACGAGTTCGGATGTGGTTTTCGTGCTGTACTTATAAGTTTCGCGCATCTTCTGTGTCTTTCTTTCTTCTTCTTTACTTAGGGTTTTATGTCGGGTTTGGGTTTGGCGTTGGAGGGAACTGTTTTTATGGCTAATGGCCTTTCTGCACGAAGGGCTCTTTTTTTCCATGTGCACGGGTTGTAGCCGGGGATCTGGTTATTTCCCTCGGTGTGTTCTGTATTATAGCCCTTTTCTTCTTCTTCTTCTTTTTTCTTCTGCTGACATCAGCTATGTTTACATCTTCTGCTCGAAGATCTTGCTCTGTGGGCACAACGCAGTTAATTTTGCTCATGTGGTCTGTTTATACATGATAGTATAGAGCTATATACTACTCCCTTAGATCTACCTATGTTGTATCTACGTATTACCGCCTTTCCTATGCTACATCTTCCCTTGTGCTCACCGAGTACTCCATAGACCTGCTCTGATCATCATAGATCTGCTTACTGAACAAGACTGATCCACCCGTGGACTCACTGATACTCGCTGAGCGCTCTGATTGGTTGTTTCCCGCTGAGTCTGGGCCAGGCCGCAGTTTTAGGTTTAGCGCGCCTCCGTATACTAAGTAGCATTTTTGGCTCGCAGGCCTTGATGAGCTGGTCGATGCAATTAACGACCCAACAATTGCTCTCCAAGATGAGGTGCGAGGTGTACAATGGATCTTGGAGCATCTGTTCGAAGAGGAAAAACTTCCAGCATCGTTATACGATGAACTAGAATATAGCCGAGGGGTCAAATCCTCGGCCAAGTCCTGGACAAAAACCATAAGAAAGATTGCTGTTTTTTCATGAAGGATGGAAAGTAATCCTTTGTGGAAAATGGTCCCGGAATCAAAGGAGCAGAGACTGGCAAGTGAAGACGTTCCAGGTATAACTTCCTAGTTAATTTTTTGGTTATAGCCTTTCTAAACTGAATACACGGCTACCTCTATACAAGAGCTGAGCTCGCCGTCAAAGTCTTGGCGATATCGTGAGAAATCTGACACAGCTGCAAAAGAGTCTAGCCGTGGCTGTCTCTGCATGGACACATGCACCAACGAGGGCAGTCAAAGACCCTGGGATAAGAACAAGAACCGGCTATCGATGAAGATCAAGGACTATGTTAGCAAACTTGGTGGCGGCTCATTCTTGTATCGAGTGTCTACTTGGGCCGCTTTAGCTGCGATGATGGCCTTTTTCACTCCGGTCATTCACAGTAGGCACTTGGACAACGAGTTGGGGCCGGGTATCTATACATCCAATTCTCTAGAATGGGTCCTGAATTGGGTTCCGTCAATAGTGCCTTGTTGGTCTTCAAAGACCCTGGTTTCCGCAATTTGGATGTCTAGAGGCCCTCTCTTCCCGAGTGGCAGCAGATCATCGTAACTTGGACACGAAAGTCACTTTCGAATGCACCGGATTCGGTACATCCGAAATGAAGAACAGCAGACATCATCCAAGGGTATTTCGAAGCCAGGTTCTCTAAAACAAACTGTCTACCACAACCCAGCAAGGTCTCATAGACCGCTGCATTTAGTCATACAGGATGTGGGGCGCTGTCTGTATCATTGGCGATGATAACTAGTGAGCCTGGCCCTTATACTATCACTAGCTTCATTATCAATCACACTTTTCATTGTGGAGACGTAAGCTGGCCACTCTTTTGCTTTGAGTACTTCCTATAGATGGTCCACATTCTCGCTAAGGACCTCAGCCCCAAGGAAATCACCACTGTCAGCCTCCTTTGACATTTTCTACACTGCCAAAGACCGACCCGATGACGTCAAGATCGGAGTCACAAGTCAAGCGCCTCTTCATGTTTTCTCGGACTAGGAGGATGGTTATTCGGGATATTTCCATGCCCAATCTTAAGCCTGTCTCTGAGATTATTGATTCATCATATTCCTCTCGGCTGTCTGGATTGGGGTTTTGCCTAACCAAATTGGGGCCGAGAAGTTAGTGATGTATTTGTGATGACAAATGTTATCGGCCAGCCTTAGCTGACTACATGCGAATGAGTTGTCAGTCTTACATGAGATTTGGCGTTCTCTTTGTGTGTCTCTAGATTATATATAGCCAAAATCCATATTTTCTATAGAAGTATCGCAAAACATCTTCATCATGGGCCAACCATCAATCCCCCCTACCCCCACCTCCGCCAGTGCGGCCGGTAAAACCGCCATCATCACTGGCGGTAACACTGGAATTGGCTACGAAGTCGCTCGTCAGCTCCTCCTCCTCAAAGCATCACGCGTTATTATAACCGTCCGATCAACCAGCAAAGGTCAGGAAGCTGTCGCCTCACTACGCGCCCATCCGGAAGTGAAAAAAGCCAACCCTACCGCCACGATTGAATTCTTCCATCTCGATCTTGACGATTTTCAATCCGGCGTGGAGTTTGCAAAAAAGATCCGCGCCGAGGTCTCTGAACTACATATTCTTATCTGCAACGGTGGTGTCAATCTGATCAGCTACGAAGCTAGCAAGAGTGGTCATGAACGTGTTATGCAGGTCAACTGCTACACTCATTTCCTAGTTACATTAGAACTCCTTCCTCTTCTTCGTGCGACGGCAGTGAGCTGTGGCGAACCATCACGTCTCACGTTCGTCGGGTCGAGTATCCAAAACTTCAACACACTGGCGAAAAAGCCTCTAACAGATTCCAAGACTGTGATCGAACACTACGATGACAGACAGATATACAGCGGGCTAAATCGGTACGCGGATAGTAAATTAGCCGTGCATGCGTTCGTGCAGCGACTAGCGAACATCGTGCCGTCTTCAGAGCTTATCATCAACGATCTATGTCCTGGCATGGTAGCTACCAACTTCGACCGTGGACTGCCGCTCTGGTTGAAGCCTGTTATGGCCGTGTTGAGGAGGCTGATTGCGAGAACGGTCGATGACGGGGCAAGGACGGTTATCTATGCGGCTGTTGTTGCCGGGCAGGAGACCCATGGAAAGTTTTTGCAGAGTAACAAGGTGGATCCGTGAGTGCTTCCCCCTGCAGTGAATACTCGAGCATGCTAATGATTACTCTAGAGGCGCACCCATCCTTCAGGAGAAGGTCGGACAGACCTTTAGCGAGAGATTGTGGAAGGACATTATCACGGAGGCTAGCAAGTATGACGCCGAGTTGCAGAGCTTTGCTTGATTTATACCACGGAAATTGTTGGACGTCTCTGTTATTATGTTCTGTTCTCTATCAGTTACTATGGCTTCGTGTGGGATAGGCCACAGCATTTATACACATCTACGATGAAGCATTTCGATATTATATACACAAAATGCATACCAGCTCCGCCGTATAATACGGTAGGACAGTTGTAAAGGTCTTGAGTAGTCAGACTATATCATCAACTAACAAAACCCACTCAAGAAATCTACTAGAATATCAAGCACCCTCGCGTGAATCTAATCCGCAAGCCCCTTGCCCAAATAATCCAACAGATTGGTCCGATGTGTTTAATATAGACTAGACATGCATCAAAAAAACGGAGCTGCATTAGAGGATGGAGTACCGTACTAGGCAAGTATGACCAGATCGGTTTTAGGACCTACGCTACAATCTCTTGCCCTGTCCTGGATATGATCCGTCTTGCTCTTCCTCGGTTGCCCGGATGAATCGTTGGTTCATACCTATACGACATTATGAGCAATATATATCTGAGAGTTACTCCTTTCCTTCATTTACACAAATCATATAGTAAAACCATTTACTTATCACCTCATCACCATGAACCGCATCGACGTGCACCACCACTTCATCCCCCCGGCCTATGTCAACGGTATCTTACCTTCCCGGAAACATAATAAACATAATTAACAAGACTATAGCCTTCAACTCAACCTCTGGTGACCCCTCCGGCTGGCACCTCCCCAAATGGACCCCAGAATCGACCCTCTCCTTGATGACCTCCCATTCCACCCGCGCAGCCATTCTCTCCCTGACCGCACCGGGCACCTCTATCCTATCCGATTCCCCTATGGACTCAGCGGCCCTCGCCCGGCAAGTGAATCTCTATGGTTGCCAACTTCACCGGGAAAACCCCACTCGGTTTGGTTTCTTTGCTAGCCTCCCGCATCTGACACCTGAAACCATCCCATCGGCCATTGAGGAAGTCGCTTATGCTCTGGACACACTCCAGGCTGATGGTATCACTCTGTACACTCGGTATAGTGGAACTGGATATCTCGGTCATGCTGCTTTTGCGCCACTCTGGGAGGAATTGAACCGCCGAAAGGCAGTAGTTTTTATCCATCCGACAAACATCACTTCGGACGCTCAGGATCAGCCTCAGATGGGCATTGCAAAGCTGCCACAGCCGATTATTGATTATCCTCACGAGACATGCCGAACCGCGGTCGACCTGATTACCTCTGGAGCTATTTCGAAGAACCCCGATGTCAAGATCATTCTGTCCCACGGAGGCGGAACACTGCCTGTTCTTGCTACTCGGGCGGCAAATCTATTGTACGATGCGGGTCTGACCGAGATCACCCCAGAGATATTCATGGAGCAGGCTAGGGGTTTTTATCTTGATCTTGCGCTTTCCGGGAACGAGGGGAATTTGGAGTTGCTGTTGGGCAAGACCGGGTTTGCAAAGCCAGGTCATGTACTATATGGCAGTGACTTCCCTTATGCTCCAGTTAACACCATTAACAAGTATGTAGGGATGATGGAGGGATTCTTCGCAAGAGAAGAGGAGAAGGAAGAGGAGATTGCCCGGGGTGCGGCGGTAGAGTTATTCCCGCGATTTCGGATTGAGGAGGATAGGGAGGAGGTACTGACGAACCCAGGCTATTGATAGATACGTATATACAGGGTTGTGTGGAGAGAAATACATTATCATTTGACGATGGTATACCTGAAGGGGAACACTTCCATCTTTTACTTCTTAGTATTCAATCTAACACTTGTAGTACTTTAACAGATTTCAGCTTCTCATTGATAATGTTAACTAGTTAACTAGTTAACTAAATAACAGATAGGTTATTAATACCGGTGAATGAACATATCTACAACGATCGATGTGTTTACTACATGCGAAGAAGCTATGTATATCGGTAGCACAGTACACGGGCATGCCTAAGTCCACATCAGCTCGTGACATTATGCTCGTCTCCCCTCTTTTCCTTGACACTGTCCTTCTCCCCGCACTCTGTGCATGACTGAGACTATTCGTGGTTTCTCAAGATCTAGCTATTTCACTATGACTTATATCACTGTGACTAGGGTCTGAAATTCCGGATTTGACGGCTGTATTTCTCTTTGAATATAATTATAGTGAGGTCGCAACGTGGTAAGATCTGCTGCTTTCGGACCTGTCACGCAACGTCGGCACTTTTGCCGGTCTTGTTTCCACGCATCTTTTACATATTCCAGACCTTCCACGCACTTTCGCACCAAATGCACATATGATCCCCACGCACTTTGCGCAGTAGCTTCAACTACCACGCACTAGAAGGTCTGTCTTCACACGCACCACTACAATGGCTAATGCTTAGTACCACGCACTTACAGAACCCCTCCACTGAGTAGCGCAAGTGTCTAAACGAAAGAACTGTGGAGCCAAAAGCCAGAAGCGAAGCAGGAACACAGAAATAGTGGCCTTGGTTTCGTGGCATCAGTTGGGGGGCGACCCGTGAACATCATGGCCGATGCTCCATTCTCCCCATCCGGTGGAGCTCGAGCTCCGACCTCGTACCCCAACATCTCCTCCATCCCACGCCGCTCCTCCTACGCTTCAGTAGTATCTGGCAACACATTTTCCTCACCAACCTCTACTTCCTTCTCACATCTACTCAACGACTCCCATCCAATCCCCTACCCCCCGTCCGACAGCCGAGTCCACCGGGCTCCGTTCGGCGTGGATGCCGCAGACATGCACATGAACTCCGCCTGGAGAAACACAGGTTCAACAGACTCACTTCCTCCCTGGTCCCGCAAGTATGCCGGCTTTCTACGCTCGGCCGAGTTTCCGCACGGCCTAGGTCTCACCGACAGCCCGGCCTTCCTCATTCCATCTTACCTCCGCAACTCCCGCTACATCGCCCGTCTCGAAACAGCCCACCGCGCTAAGCTCGCTGCTCAGCAGCGAGAACCCTCCTCATCCACAACCTCTAATCCTCCCCTTTCCGCATCCTCCAGCAATGTCCATCTGCCCCGCATTGCCCCGTCGCACCGCGGCATGACATATGATATCATAGAGAAGGAACCGTCGGCACCGGCCGATCCCCTCATGCCCTTGCCTAGCCAGTGGAGCTCCGTAGACAAGTTTTCTGGTCTGGAACTGTCTAACGAAAACTTCGATGTTCGCTACACTGGTCCCATGCACAAGCATGATCATGAGGCCGCTGCCTTGCGCGCAGATCACCCTATGCCGCCGCAGTGCGGGATCTACTACTTTGAAGTTAAGATTGAGTCAAAGCCGAAGGAAGGGTATGTGGATGAGCTGCTCGGTGGATATTGGGGGTAGAGGCTGACCCTTTTTTTTCTAGCATGATCGGCATTGGCTTTTCTAGCCCCAAAGCGTCCGTTGAGAGGCTTCCCGGTTGGGAGACAGAATCTTGGGCTTACCATGGTGATGATGGAAAGTCGTTCTTTGGCGAGAGTCAAGCACAAGGTCGAGCGTATGGACCGACGTTTGGTGCTGGCGATACAGTCGGATGTGGTGTGAATTTCTCTACAGGATCTGCGTTCTTCACTAAGAATGGCGTTTTCTTGGGTAGGTTTTTGTGTGGAATGTAATGTGGATATCTTAGGCTAATTTTGACAGGAAATGCGTTTCACGATCTGCGCAATACGAATCTTTTCCCGTCTGTCGGAATGAAGAAACTACCGCCAGTACATCTCAAAACGAACTTTGGACAGGAGCCTTTCGTTTTTGATATTGATGGCATGGTCAAGGTTTGTGCTGTTTCCATCCCATACTCGGAAGTTGTCGAGCTAATTCCCACCAGCAAGAGAGATTCAACGTTCTGTCAGAGATCAACGAAACATCCACGGCTGGTCTACAACCACCGTTAGACGAGTCGACACTTTTGCAAGAGTTAGTAGCACAGTTCCTCGCCCATGACGGCTACGTAGACACGGCTCGTGCATTCGCAGAAGAGGTGGCCACCGAAACACGGGCCCTGCAGAACGGTCGCAACGAGCCACTGAAGAAATACGAAGTCGAGGAAGACCGCGAGGCTATCAACCGGAACAGTGAGTCTACACCTCCGCATTCCTCCCATCGCCAAGTCCCCACTGACAGCCCATAGAAATCCGCTCCGCAATCCTAGACGGCGACATCGACAAGGCCCTCAAGCACACCAAAGCTTACTACTCCAACGTCCTAGAAGACCATCCAGAAATCTACTTCAAATTGCGCTGCCGCAAATTCCTTGAAATGATGCGGCAGTCCAACGAACTCTCCGTGGCAACCGCCGCGAAGCGCCGCCGCTCGACATCCTCCAACTCGCACGAGCATGCTGTCTTCGATCAGGAGATGGAGCTCGACGACGGGGATGGCGACGCCTGGGCCGCGGACGGCATGGATACCGAAGAACCAGAGGTCGTGGCGCAGTTCAACCAGCTCCTCACAGAGGCAGTACAGTATGGCCAGCAGCTGCGTGCTGATTACCCCACCGACGAGAACGGCGGCGATAAGAAGCTGCTGGATGATATTTTCTCGCTAGTGGCGTATCCTGATCCGAAGAGATCTGTTCATGGCCATTACCTCGATTCTGAGGGGCGGGTTGCTGTGGCCGAGGAGTTGAATTCGGCTATTCTTGGTATGTTGCTTCACCTATTTATTCTGCTGCGTTGTCTCTGCTTCCTACTTGCAAGCAAAAATGCTAACACAGCACTGTATAGTCTCATTGGGCAAATCATCTGCAGCAGCGCTGGAAAGGCTATACCAGCAGACTGAAGTGCTGGTTAATGAGATCAGTGAAGACGGCGGCGCTGGGGCGTTCATTAATGTTCGGGATGACATTTTGCTTTGACTGGCGCTGGGTTAGCATCTTGTTGTCCTTTCCTTCTTTTTTTTTCTTCTTCATTGATGTTCCTTTGTGTGGACGGGCCTACCGATCTCATATATCAGTTTTGGCTTCATGTTCATGTTGATTTACTTCTACTTTCACGACTCTCTATTTTTTCCACTTTCCTTTTGTCAGATTAACTTCTACGTATCTCTTAGCCAGAATGATGAGTCCGCTTGGGATTAATTTTGAAAGTTCAATGACCTACCTAGGTACTGGGTACTGGTAGCATTGTATACAATTCTTTGTGACGTCAAGTTCATTCTATACCTAGAGGCGGTGAGGTCCGGCAATATAAAAGCGGTAAGGCCTCGCGACCTCGCGAACGCTGGGGCTTATCTCATCCCGGCTAAATTTGGGTATCCATCGATCTCCGCCTCCTCGAATTAAAGGGACTCGATAATACGGAGTAGTCTGTGATACCTCGAACCTACAAAATCTTCTGATGATCAGTCCTCTCCACACACTCAGCTCCCCAAAGGGGCCACATTCTTGACATGGATCCACATAACTATGAGGATCTCAGCATTCCTACTCATTCACGCGCCTCCACCACCCTACGCTGCTGCTGCGGCCACAATGATTGTGCTTTGCTCGAGCATAACAATGTAGCTCTTGAGGGGTTGGAGAAAGACCTCGCGACTGCTGCTAGGCTAGGTCAGGTACGTCTCTTTGTCGAATTAGTTGCCCAAATCATGTGGGTATGACAACACGCCAAGCTGTTTGGAGGCTGGCTGAACCATGCATGTTCGATTTGATACATCAGCTTATCCTCATTCCTCGCGGAACACTCTGTATCTCATTACTTCTGTTCTCCTTTACTTCTTCATTTCAACTACTCGGACTGCACATTCTGCATACCTTGTGCACACCCCACATGATTTGGAATCAAATGGCCACCCTTGGATCACAATCTCCCATTCTCTCTTACTGTGTTGGCGTCCGTCATGGCCACCTTTCATGATTATACTGTCAAGGCAGAATGTTTGGAGCCATCATCACTGACTTTTGCCCTACAGGCCTTGCTCCACCGTCATGAAAGCTATATGGCTGAAGCGGAAGAGGATCGTCATCGTTTGGTCGGCAGCATTGAGGATCTAGAACGTGAAAAGCAACAAGTTCAAGCAGAAAATGCGCGCATCATCGAAGAGAATCGCAGTTTATTAGAGCAACTTGACAGTCTGAATCAAGCGGTCACCGAGTCTGACAACCATGTGAAGTCCCTAACAGTTACTTTGGAGAAAACCGAGTCAGATTTGCGAAGATTGACAGTGGCTGCAACGCGGGCCGTAGAGCTCGAGGCGCAACTAGCTCTCATGGAGACGGAGCAGTCTAAGCTCCAAGAAAGTCTTATGTCGGTGCAGGAAGACGAGAAATCGGCCGTCCAACGGTGGAGAAAAGCAGAGAGCACGCTGCGAGACCTTCACGATCAAGTCGACCGTATCGAGAGAGAGGCACGCGAGGAGAGGGATCGACATACTGAGCTCGTCCAACGCATGGAACGTAAGAGGGATGTGGAGCGCGAGCTAGACAATGCAGCGGGACGTCTCAAGGGTGCCGCCGCAGCCTCCGAACTCAACCGCAATGCAGGTGGTACAAACGTTGTCTCTCGTTTCGTTAAGGACATATTGCAAGACAACGCCAATCTGCAGGTTGGGATTATGGAGCTACGCGACATGCTTCAAAGCTCGAATGAAGAAGTGCAAAATCTACGGGAACAGGTTATCTCTCATCAGCCCCTGGCCGGCGTCGATGGTGACAATACACAGCCAAGGCCTCCTCCCATCACGCTGAGCGAGGAGCTACGAGCGAAGGAAGAACGACGCGTCTCTCAGGAATTGCACATCCATCATCATTTCCACACACCAACTCCAGCCCCAACTACGAAGAAGGAAAAAAGCACGCTCAACCGTCGCGTGAAGAAACGCCGCGCCGCTATGGGAAGCCCGGCAGTGCTGCATTCTGCGACGCGGGCCAACTCGCCTCGAAGAGCCATTCATCGCTCCCAGTCATCTGGGTCCTCTATGTCAACCATTCTATCGCAAACCTCTGTCTCCATCCCACCCTATTCATCCTCCCGCCGCTGGTCCTCAAACTCGCGTGCTGGGGATTCGCTGGCAAGCTCTCCTCGGTCCACGTTCCGGACGTCATCGATATTTGATCGTGTTGAACGTGGCCCTGATTTCTCACAGTCTACCAGCCCTGATAGCACCGTGTTCTCTTCCCCTTTGATGCAGACACGGAACCTGAAGGGTCTTGATATGCCATACCGCCCAGTCGGTGGCTTTGATAATCACGATGCACCCGACGATCTATCTGCATTTGATAATGATTTCTACAGTCGCCAAGACTTCTTTAACACGGGGGATAATCTCATAAGAGAGCCGGCTATCCCCGAGGAGTCCGAACCATCTCCACCAATGTCATACTTCTCGCCTATGGGTGAACCACTGACGACCACTGATGAAATTTTTACTATGCATGTACAGCCATCTTCCTTGCGCAGATCTTCTTCCCATGACAGCTTGCTCTCCATCTCCGTTGCTGGGATGGACATTCATACACCCACAAGTCGCCACAAGCGAATGGGAGACTGGCATCCCGGCATGCGGATCCCTCGGCGCATTTTGTCACCCAGTGTCGAACTAGTGTTAACACCCCCGGTAATCTCAACTCCGGCCGTCACAGCCGATCGTGCAAAGAGCTCAGAGTATACATCCCAGTCATTGCTTGCTTCCATGGCTGCGGGAAACAGCACGAAGTCCGACACGGCATCCGTTGTATCCACCGACAGCACCAGCACCCACTCAACCGCACTTCATGGGCCCGACAAAGTTAAGTTCGGTCGCCGCGTGGGAGGCTGGGTCCTAGGCCGTTGGGGCATGGCACCGGTCTCATCTGAGAGTGACTCGCAAGATCCGACAGACTCATCGAACACGTCTGTGACATCGTCTTCTGCGTTTGAGCCCAAACCTCGTGACCCGCTAGCTCACCGCTTCAGATTCCCAGGTGTGAATCAGAAGGGCCCGATAATGGGCTTGCGCCCTCCACCTGCTGCTCCAATCTCTATTCATGCAGAAAGCATAGACGAGAATCTGCTGCGAGAGAGTCTAGCTGAAGAGAATAGCTAGATTCCTCGCGGTCTAAATATCTGCACATCCATTGTTTTTTAGCGTTTACACTCGTTTTAATCTTGCATTTACTTTTCTTTTGTTTACTTGTGCATCCTCGTTCGGTTGTTGCATTTCTTGGATTCCTGGTTTGGGATGGCGCGAGTTGCGATGATACCCATGCTTTCGTCTTTGGTTTCCTAGAATTATCTATATTATACGATGTACACTCTTTGGTCATTTTCACAATGTGTATTTTGCAACAGGATCCTGTAGCTTAGAGTGGTTTTTCTCGGTGTCTTTTATGCTTATTTTTGAAGGATTTTGATAGGGGACTGATATATACACTTCGTCGAGTGCCTCGAGACAGTTGGAGTTTTATTCGTCAAGATAATCAACTTGAACAGTTTCGCATGGAGTTCCCTTGGAGCTGGTTATATACTGTGACAACAAGTTTCATGCAATAACTAACTTTTGAATGATTTGCATGATATCACCTTCCCTATTCATACTCATGGCCTCGTGATGTAAACTCAGTTCAAGTTGCTTATTTCGACCGCGAAATCCGATATGTCCGGAGCGGGATGCTGGTCGAATGGAAGAAACCCGTCTGGTCTTCTGCTGGTGTCGATTCGAATGGGAGGGCCTCAAAAGCGAGTGAGTTGGTTTCTGTTGATGTTTAGTTGCGTAAGGCATGACCATCAACGTCCATGTATGAACTTCAAGACTCACCACAGGCATTTAGAAACGTGCGGAAAGTATTTTCATTGCGCAGGCTAACCGCAGTGATGAATTCTTCAATGTTATAGTTCTCAAAAAGATCCTGCACAGTAGACAGGAGTGAGGGAACAAGGTCGGTATCATAAACCTAGGTATGTAAGCAAAAAAACCTAAGTGAACAGCTCATAAAGACACTCACTAGATCAGCACCGAGAGCAACATCGAACTTCAGCCCTGTCCCTTCCTCACCCTCATCAGAGCCCAACCCAGCAAGATCCCCCACCTTCTCCAGCGGAGTTCCCCACTCCCAGACAGCAGGATAAATAGGAATGGATTCACGCCCATGCAAATTATGCTTGACACAAGCACGAATATTATCAACAAGTGCGGGCTCACGATCAGTAGCAACAATAGAGCGCACACCAAGATGGCGTGCACAAAGAAACGACAAGAATCCCGTGCCAGCTCCCAGTTCGATAACGCGTTTACCGCGCACAAGAGCCTCGCCCGCCTCAGACGCCAGGAACGAACCGAGGTGCAGAGCAGCCTCCCATGTCCGGTTACCTGTAGTTCCAGCGTACAGAATCACGCCGCGCGATTCAGAGGTCGTGACGGTACGCTTGGGACAATTTCCCGCGCTGGATGTTGGCGCTGTGTACTTGACTAACGACAGCTGCTGCGCTTGCTGCAGGGCTGAAGGTTTCGGCTGTGAGACTAGTGTGCTCCAGCTTTCCATGAGATCATCGTTGATCTCCTGTATTTGGGGGAGATCAGAGGTTAGATAGGTGGAATCAAGGAATATAAAAGTGGGTTTTGGTTTTGTATTGGTGTGAGGTGGATGTATATGGGATAGCAAAGGAAAAGATAGGAAGTTCAAAATGCAAAATAGCATAATACAAACAGGTGGACAGGCATACATCCTCCTCGGGGTTGATAATTGATTCCTCGATGCGTGATATAAGCTGTTTCAGCACTCGGCTTCGGTATCTGTCCGGTGGGACGGGGAAGACTGCATTTTCGTTGAACATGCGCTCGTATAGAGCTGTTTGCACAGCTGGCTGAATCAGCACAGGGCCTGGTGGGAGGTCCAGTTGCTGGAGCTCAACCAGCTGGAAGTATTGCGCCGCTAATTTATCAATAGAGTCGGTCATGACGGTCGGATGAAGACTAATGAATGAATTTGATACCATAGGAGATCGATATTATTGGAGCCCGGGGAGGAGAGTGGATGAGTCAGGAATGAGATAAGCAAGGGCTGATCAATACATTATGCCTCAGGCAGAAACCGAATTAGTCATATACGCCTGAGGCAAATAGCTCAAACAGGCTAGCGTCTACCCTAGCCGAGCCCACACCACACGAAAATTGAAAGTTCGACATCCCCAGTGACCCCGTCGACACTTCCTCCATCCAACGCACACACCAAAATGGCCGACTCTCCCGTCACTCTGCGGACTCGCAAGTTCATCCGCAACCCTCTGCTTGCCCGCAAGCAGATGGTCGTGTAAGAACCCCCCTGATTTTCCCCCTCGTATTGGATCTGTGTGTGGGAAATGCATCGCAGGCGCGCAATATGGAAATTCGACAACCACCCAGCACAAGAGAAAGAGAAAGAGAAATACAATCGGACCGCCGCAACACACACAGAATCAAGCATCGAAAACCCAAAAGCCAGAAAACCCCGATCTGACATCTTTTCGCGAATATCTAGGGACGTCCTCCACCCCAACCGCCCCAACGTCTCCAAGGACGAGCTCCGTGAGAAGCTGGCCGATCTGTACAAGTCCAACAAGGACCAGGTCTCCGTCTTCGGTTTCCGCACACAGTACGGTGGTGGCAAGAGCACCGGCTTCGCTCTGGTCTACGACTCCTCCGAGGCCCTCAAGAAGTTCGAGCCTCACTACCGTCTCGTCCGTATCGGTGCCGCCAACAAGATCGAGAAGGCTTCCCGCCAGCAGCGTATGTCTTTCTCTTCGTCTCTGCGATTATCAATCGCAAACTATGATGGCATGTGCATTTTTGCTAACCTCCTCCTACAGGCAAGCAACGGAAGAACCGTTCCAAGAAGTTCCGCGGTATCGCCAAGGTCAAGGGCCCCAAGAAGAGCAAGGATTAAACGCCTCATCTGTAACTATTCGCACGATTCAACATGGACCGATGATGCGGCATGGCGCGATGGGAAAGATTATGGCGGTGGCGGCTTTGGCTCTGGAGTTTCCCACCTGGTTATGGCTTGTCTGGACCCAGGTGCGGTCGGTCGTGTGTGGGGGGAGTGGTTTATCTTCCTTTTCAGCGAACATCAGACTAAAACCCAAAATGATGCCCGTTGAATGGTGAAGATCGTGGATACTCTTTTTTCTTCCTGTGCTTGTTGGAGCTGGTGATTCCCGAGAAAAAAAAAAGGCCTGACGATCCCCATGGAAATCTAAAACAGGGCGTCAGTGTTGTGGTTCTCTGTTTGTATGTTTTTTGGGGAGGGGATCATCAGTCTTCGTGAAGACGGCCAGGGTTATGAGAATCCGGGCTTCGGCTGTTTGCCCGGGATGAAATTACATTTTACTTGTTTCTCTTCACTCGGTCTGGCGGTCTTGTAGACTGGACTTGTATACGGGGCCATGATGTCTAGATCTAGTGTAGTTGGATTTCCAGACTGTAAAGTGAAGAACCTCTGCCGTGTAGTCGAGGCTTGGTCTATATCAAGCCATGCCCTCCACGTTATATGCTTCAAATGCGGAGTACATACTTGACACAACGGACGGTTGATATGGTAACAGTTAACCACCTTCTTGCCTACATCAATGAATGCCACTACTATATCAATACTAAAACCAAAAAGAGTGAAATAATCATGGCAGCCCCTTGGCCAAAAGCCCAATCTAATTCCTCAAGAACCAAATTTCCCAGTAAGCATTCTAATCAAATTTCGTTATTTCGGAGATAAAATCTGGGAAAATACTCCGCCAAAGCATTAGTTAGGTTACATAGGCAACTTGAAAGTTATTGTCCGAGGCGCTAAAGCCCTAATTCAGAGCGAAGTCTCACACTATAACAGCGAAATTGCATCTGATCATTGCCTGGACAATCCAACACTTGTGATTAATTGTGATTATAGTCATGGCACTAACTAACTAGCTAGGTATTTATCCCATCCAGATATATTTCGTAAGAAAAAGACGTACCTAGTTACTAGTTAGAAGAGAACCAGTCTTTCTATCCGACTCAAAAAAAAGAGTTAAAAAGCCATACATACAATGCAGGAACAAACTTCCTAAACCAAACCATCACATCTAGCAATGACAAGGCCTCGAAGCAACACAAACCAGCCGGCGGGAGGCTGTGTAAGTATATCCCTCGGGTTAGATCGCTTGTACGATGGGACAGATTACACAACCTAGAACGAATTCCCTTTCCTGAAATATTCCCATTTAGATTTCATTTCCCATATGGAAATACCACTTATTAATTCCACGTGGACTTGTTTCGTCCGGGATACTAGTCGTCTGACTCGATATGTAGATACGCATCTGCTACCGTAGGATTTCCGAGCCAAGGACCCAGACACGTCCATGTCAGGGTTGTATACGGCATTCTGGGTTGGATCATTGTATCACTGCATCCAAGCCAAGGGCGGAAGTCAGGAGTCCGTCGATGTACAGATTTATGTGCTATTTTCTGGTTAAGAAGGATCTCGGAGGGCACATGGGTACATGGATAGCCCTAGCCCGTGCTTGTGACTGTTGAGGATGGGGGACACATGGGGATGGGGTTAATTATAAGTACTGCTTTATCAGGGGATCTGATTGTATTAGGTGCTAGGTTGAGATATAAATACTTGAGTAAGTTGTAAAAGACATTACTTTCGAATAGACCGTAGAAGGCAAATAAGGAACACGCTTGGAAGGATTGCTAGAAGACAGAAGACTAGAATCAACAAGCTCTCCCAAGTCATTCGTCTGGTTGAGACACATATCACGGGCAGTGGAGAGTTTCTCATAGTAACAATAGAAAGTCATTTCACGAAAGACTAAACACACATGGCATGAAAACAAAAGCATATTTTTGCAACAGAAACTGATCCACAGATATGAACACTGCATAAAGCCACTCGGTGGTATTAGGGAGTAATCTTGATGGGTGTGACAGGATGGATATCTCATCATAATCCCCCATTGGATGTTTTTTTTCTTCTTTTGGATGAACACAGGCAAAATAAAAAAAGAGGACAGAACGAGCAATAAACCAAAATAGGACAGAAACATATTTCATAAACAGACGCGAGAAAGACATTAAGTGTGGGCGGA